CACGATCTCGGTATTCTTTCGATACCACGAGATCGCCAGCAAATATATCTCGACTTGGTCCATTAAATGCCTTCTGATATTTGGCTTCCGGGGGATTTTATGGATATCCTGGTACGCGTTCCTTTGTAGTGGTGTTCATAGTCAATTTCGACTCGACGCCACACAACACAACCGAAGTAAAATTAATCCAAGTTTAATTAGTACGACAGAGCAACACGTTGGAATATTTCAAATATATTATTTATTTATAACAATCTACCCAATGCTCAATTTATTCGAGATTACCAGATCAGACCTTTGTGATGATACCTACGGTAAACTATGATTTTGATATTCAGAAAAGTATACAAGTTAAAACAAGAGATATGTGCACATAAAATTTGATTTTTTTAATAAAAGCACATAATCTACGGGAGTTTTAATCAAAAGACGAATAAAACATCAAGTCTATATTTAAAACGACTGTTGTGGTTACTGACGAGTAGAGAAATTGAAGCACTATGATACAAATAATTTATTCCAAAACATGTTCTGACGCAAAAAAATGTAGATTTATCCAGCAACCCAGACGAAATACGCTAGAACAACTTTATATTGACAGCTTTCATTAAACAAGTAACAGATATGCATATACTTGTTAATGATAAATTTAAGATAAGCGTATTTAAGTGCCTAAGCGTAATAAATCCATGAAAAGTCAAACAATAACCTGGAGCAAACTTCAGTAACTGTGTATTTACACCGATATGATGCTTAGTTAGCTTAGATGAAGAAAATTAATTAAAACTGACATTCCTGCAGACAAAAGAACTACTAAGACCAATTCACACTCAACAGACAAGAGGTGAGCGACAAGCGTATACGTTACAAACGTTGATGTTGGGCAATCAAAATCCTCCACGGAGCTGGCTGGTTAAGATTTCAAAAGCACAACGACATGTGACACGTTTTAATTAGCTTTACTATGATCTCTACAATTCTAAATACTTACTGAACTCACTCTGTGGTAATAAGCTTTCAGGAAAACGTGAAAACTACATACCGTGGTGTTCTTAGTTCCTTCCACTCCATTGGGTCAATCGTACCTACTCACTTACGCCTGGTACCCATTGCGGAGTTGCATAAGCCGTCCACCAGCATTCGCCATCCTAAGCTGTCACGAGCAGTCCCTCCCAGTTGTTTCCAGTCGTTCTTCATTCTTTTCATGTCTGCTTCTAATTTTCGACACATTGTGTTCTTCGACCTCCCACTTCTCCGTTTCCCTTCAGGATTCTAAGTTAGCACACGACAGGTGATGCAGTTTAGTGATTTTCTCAATGTATGTCCTACCCACTTAAAGGGTCTTTTCCACTTCAGCTGGAAGCTGGTTTGTTTGCTCCCACAGTGAGCTATTGCTGAAGATGTCCGGTCAAGGAACATTGAGTATCTTGCATTTGCAATTTTTTGTAACTACTCATACCTTTGTGATAATGGTTGTAGTAGTGCTCCAACTGCAGCTCCATCATGTTCTACTGGCTAAACTAAACCTATTACAGTCGTCATACCGAAGAACTAGAGAAGATTTTATCACGGTTTTCCAATTATGTAGTGATAAATTTACACCTGATATGCCTTCATTTTTCTCATCTTTCAAAACAGAGCATTCACGAGGAAACTCCAAAAATAGTTCACAAGACCAGAACAACTTACTTATCAGCTGACAAACGACGTTCCCATCGAATCATCAGCGAGTGGAATTCATTATCTGTCGACTCTTTCAAATGAAAGTTGGATCAATTGAGAGACCATCATTGTCAAGAATAACACAGGTCATCTTGCCTCCTGCTCTATCCAAACTGAAACTGAATGTCCCCATTCAATTAGTACTGTCACTACTAAATGGTTTTTTTGTTTTTAGGTTCAAAAAAGAATTGCAACATGCCGTTAACAAAGATGCTCTTCCAATACGTAGGCACGTGTTTCAAAAAGGGCACTGATTTTGCAGTTGTTGTGATTATCCTTGCTTTTGTGTAACTGTTGCATCAAAAGCATCCTTGGTTTATATCAAAGTACTTTAGTTAAGGTTTGAAATCTTGCTAAGGTTTTTCTTGCGGTACCCTTTTACTCACTGACTGACACTTGTGTTCATACTGTGAGCATAATTTGTTTTACACCATAATCTGACTAAAATGGTTGGTAGTGCTCACAAATGTGGACGACCAAACTGTATGTTCCCTTTGGAGGAAGGAATGCAGTGTGATGAATGCAAAAAGTGGTTCCATAAGATGTGCACCCGTTTAACTCCCACTGCGTACAAAAGATGTTCGAAGCCTAACTCACATTGGCTTTGAATGTTTTGCTGTGCAAATAAGACGTTACTAATCCAGGAGACTATGAGCTTATTGGCTTTGGCCTGTAAAAAGAACTTTGGCGCATGCGCTGATAACACGAGCACTGACAGTGACGAATGTGTCGGTGTGGTACCTGCTGTTACGAGAAAACTCAAACACCCGACTCTGACTGACGGAAAAGTGAAATCTCAGTTAACATTAACGAGGCGGGAGTAGTACCACCTGACACTGATAGTGGTAACCATGCACCTCCAGAGGAAACTGAAGATCTAGATAAAACCCTCACAGCTCCAAATAGTCCCAGTGTCCTGAAGGATGAAAAATGGACCACAGTACGGAGAAAATGAAACGACAAGAAAACATCTGTAGGCAGTACTCAAGTGGTTAGCGAGGGATTGGTGGACTCCCACTGTGAGTCACAAAATGCACTACCAAAATCTGATAGTAAGAGAGAAACCCACCCTAGCGTGGCTGAGAAGAAGAATCTGATGTCTTCGAATATTATTGTGAGCAAAGTGCTGGAGTCAAACGACCCTGATCCCAAAATTAGACACGCGCATGATTTAGAGAAGCTGAGAGAATATATTCGTAGTATCTTACCAGATAACTCTAGAGGAGTTATCAGTTGAAGAAGCATGGTCTGTATTTAAAGGTAAGCTTTGTCTAGTTACGTCCCCGTTCATACCATACCTGGCACTGCCAAGACCGAACAACAGTCCACCATGGATAACTAAGACAGTCAGGAAACGTCTTAGAAAAAGCAAGAAGCACTGGAATATGTTCATCTCTACTGGCCTAGAACAATACAGATCCAGTTATTGTAAGATTAGGAATGCCTTTAAAGAGTTGATAAGTAAGACTAGACGATCATATGAAAAACAATTGGTTAGGGATTCCAAATATAGTCTGGAACGGTTATTCTCGTACATAAAATGAGAACTCAGAGAAGCGATGGAATTCCATCACTTTCGATACAAGAAAATCCATTAATCTTGGCAGAAAATGATACCGAAAAGGCTGAAGCTCTATCGGAATATTTCAGTAAAGTGTTTTCTATCGGTAATGAGGAACGACCAACGATTCATCGTGACCGTGACGGCTCGCTGATGGACCCTGTAGTCATTGAGGAAGGTACTGTTTTAAGGCTACTTCAGCATCTCAAACCTGATAAGTCCAGTAGTCCTGATGATATTCATCCTAGGATTATGAAAGCCCTATCAGATGTAATTGCTCAACCATTAGCGATACTGTTTGACGTGTCTCTAAGGCAGTCCAGACCGCCCAGAGACTGAAAATACGAGATAATAAGTCCGGTGTGTAAGGCTGGGAGTAGGAATTTAGTTAGTATCTATAGACCCGTTAGCTTAACTAGTGCCGTTGTAACACTGATGTAGAAAGTCATTTGGATATCTGTTATGAATTATGCTTAAGGGCAAAATCTTTTCTCCAGGGCACAACATGGTTTTCGGAAAGGCCTATCTTGCTTGACAAATCTTCTCATTGCAGGAGAAGATTGAGCTGCTGCAAAAGATCGGAATGTTTCTGTGGATGTGATTTTCATAGATCTAATTAAGGCCTTCGATAAGGTTTTCCACTCTGGTCCTAAATTCAAACTAGAACGTTTTGGAATCCATTATACAGTCGTGGATTGGATAAGTAACTTTCTCCATGACAGGAGACAAAGGGTAAGGGTTAATGTGCTCTCTCCTCGTGTGTACCTGTAAAAAGTGGGGTTCCCCAAGGTACAATCCTAGGTCCTCTTCTCTTTTCACTTTATGTAAATGAATTGCCAACTGTAACAAAATCATCCGTTCTACTCTTCGCTGATGATATAAAGATTTGGAGACCCATACATAGTATGTTGGATAGGGTAGTATTACAGGACGATCTTAGCTCATTGGTGGCATGGTTAGACAGGTGGTCACTAGAAGTAAATCCTAATAAAAGTGTAGTGATGCAGTTAAATAACTCTGATGAATCGTATCACTATACACTACGTGGATTCGTGCTACGCAAAGCAAGAAACTATAATGATTTAGGAGTCATATTAAGCAATGATCTCAAAACCACTAGTCACTGTAAGGCTGCTGCTGCAAAAGGCTATAGGGTATTATGGCCAATTCGTAGGTCTTTCCAGTATTTAGACGATGAAATGTTAAGATTACTATACCCGATTAATGTGCGACCACATTTAGAATGCGGGATTCAAGCAGCGTGTCCTTGTTTCAAGTACGAAGCAGATATGCTGGAAAGAGTCCAAATAGGCGAGGTACTAAGATGGTACAAGGTCTATCGGGCCTATATTATGAAGACAGACTGAGACACCTTAACTTATTTCCATTATCTTACCGTAGAATACAGGGTGATCTAATATTGACTTATCATATACTGAACGATGACTTTGGTATTAACATGCCTTATTTTTTACTTCCTTCTAGGACTAATCGTTTGAGAGGACATTCGAAGAAAGTTCAAAAACCGAGATCAAATCGTTTACGTCTGGAGTTTCGTTTCTCGCACCGAGTAGTGAATTACTGGAATTCTCTACCGGGACACGTAATATCAGCACCTTCTGTAGATATATTCAAAAACGATATTGGACCTCCACAATATTACAAACTTCAAGGATTAATATAGATCGATAGACCTCCTATCCTTATTACTGAAGACTAAAGTTGTTTGCCCTTCAACGTTCGATTCTTATACATGCAGATACTGAACATAGAATATTATTTAAGGCACCTCTTTCGTTTGTGTAGTTGTGGTGATGATTCGTTCGACGGCTGTCAACTTTATAAAAAGTATAACTGTTTAACGAATTATGTTTTTTTAAAGGTTGCCATAAAACTGTCCCATATATTTATTTTAAGCCATGTGCAAACCATTCTACTAATCCGGACTATGTAAATGCAACCGAGCCTTACGAAGTATTCAGATCCCGTTTCGTGAATGCATTTGATGATCCAAAAATTGACGGTTGGGGGGCTAGATCATGGATGCAGAAACTTCATCTAGAAGATGCCGTTCCGCCCCCAGAAGTAGTGATTAGTGGCCTTAAGGCTTGTAGACGCATCAACGACATCGCTCTGGCTATAAGGTTTATTGAATCTGTGAAGGTAGGTTGTTCTATCGCAATTCGATTGTTCCTTAGTTTAAGTGCCACGTTGCCAAAGGTGCTTGGGAGTGGCTTCAAAAAGAGATTGAACCCACAATGAAACAACTCGGTTTGCCAACTTTAGGACAACTTGGATATGACGAACCTGAGTTGGCTCTAATTGACTATGACGATTAATAGCATTGTATAATCCAGAGAAAAATACATAAAGTTGTTCTGTTGGAACTATTATCCCTTTATCACACATGATAGCTGATGTGGTTCTGATCTGTTACTAAATTCAACATGACCATTTCTAACATTTCAGTCAATGGGTAGTAAATAGTGAGTTTTAGCTCCTACCGACCAAATACACTCCTGCTCGCAAGTACTTGTTTTTTCAGCTGAAAATTTTATTCTTAATCATCTCACGTACCCCTCTCTTGTGATCTGAAAGAGTAACACGGCAGTAGATCAAATGACAGCGTTGATGAAAGTATATCTTCAATAAGAAAATTGTCATGGGTTTTTAATTACCAGTTACTCGAGTAAGTCCGTCCTATTAATCCGAAGTGACTTCTTATTAGAAGTTTTATAAGCAGTAACAGCTGGTCGCCAGTATTCCTAACATGTTAGGAGCTACCTCAGTTCTCCACTTCGTTCGTGTTAAAAATAGATATGTGAAGAATCAATAGAACATTGTCTGTTACATAAGATCACATTTTAATGGGATGTGTAGACACCGTCCTACAACGTTAATGAACAAAGTATGCATTTTAAATAATTTAGGGAAAAGACAAGTGTTTACACATTGTGTTCACTCCTGTGATAAATTTGTATTTGGTCTCTTATGTGTAGTCGTAAAAATACTGCAATCGATCTTTAGAAATCAGAAACCCTTACTTGCCACTCAGGGTCATAACTCCGAAATGTACGTCTAGATGAAATTACTAATGCATGATTCATCAGTCATCATATGCTTACCTTGATTCTCTTGGATGCTTATCTGTCTTGCAGAAGATGCTTGTAAAAAGTTGTCACCTTTTCTTAAATCACGACTCTAAGGAACGCAACTTATTGTGCGACTGGTTGTCTTCTATCAAGCATTACGCTCTAGCTGTAGCAAAACGAGAAAGTACAATAAATTCGTGACATACACATTTTCGAATAATGACTGCCTCAGTCATGGTGGTGGTTTGCTTTGAAGAAGTACTCATCTGCTAACGTTTAAGTAAGAAGGTTTGGTGACTGGATGGGTAACTTCCGAAAACACTGGCATTTTAAGTTTTCTGCAGAGCTTGCTTCAAATCCCAACTTCTATATATACAGTGCGGATTTATTGTACTAAAGACCATTTGTAACGGTGATATTATTAATCCAAGGCTAAAAGGTGGGTGGTTTGCTCGTGTTTACCGTACTGTATGTTTTCCAACGTTAACTACACATTCATCTAATGGTCCCATTGCAATTCGTCTTATCAATGTTATTTCTGGTTGTTGCATTTGGCATCTCATTCCGGTCGATCTTTTAAGCCAACTGAACTTATCGTATCCGTGCAAAAATTTGTCAGCCAATGAGGACTCGTAGTTCCTCTTTAGTTGATGTTAAGTGCAGTGATCAACATAGTCGACTAACTCTTTGTTATGACGAAGATTAATGCAAACCGGTAGAGACGCACTATAATTAAAAGGCAAGAAACTAGTCTTCTCAGCATACAATACCAGATATCTTTTGTCGTCGTCCAAGCACAAGTCGTTTACATTTTAATATGTATTTACTTGCTGAATTGGTTTCCAAAAGAATACTGTTTTGATTCGTTAAAAAATAATCGATCAAGTACTCGATTTCGCGTTTCTAATAAAACACATTGTTATTGTTGCTGGAGCAGCTCGTGAAAATATGAAACCGAATGCTCTTCCTGTGATGATATTCTGATTCTGTCAAAGCTGCACAATCTCTTATGTAGATGCTCACTAGCGTAACGAAGTTTTTGGTTCACCAACTCGGTATACTTTAACGTTCATAGATAGTTTAAAACTATGTCTTGCAGGCCATCAAATCATTTGTTTCTCTTGTGTGCGTAAAATATTTTTGCAAACGGGCTGTATAGTACTTCGTAGCGCTCTCCCAGTGGCAAACTCAAATCGATTCGCTATTGATGAAGATGGGTTTCCACTCCTTATGTTTATCGGATTATTTGACACTAATTGATTCCAATGCCAAATAAATATATAATCCTTTAGTGTGTTGTCCGACTACTCACCCTTATGTATGTCAGTCAGTCAGCTACAACGTAGGACCAGGCACATACATGCATCGGTCCAAGTTGCCACACCTCATTAGCACAACAAGATGGACACCGAATTTATAGAAGTGGTTAATCTAATGGTGGTAATATATAAAAGAAAGATTGCGTTTACGGATTGAGTACAGGAAGAAAGAATTAGTTCGTAGAAAGAAAGATATAAAGCAATTTCAATTTCATGGTTTAAGGGAAGACAGAGTGTGTACACCTACACAATTGAGATCGATTCTGAGCCATGTCACCCACAGTCTCCAGACATTGGTTACGAAAGTCACGCGGACACCAACCAAGTAGTCTGCATCTATCAACATGAAGATTCACAACCTGATCAACTGATTTGCCATCATTCCCTAATACCCTCCGTCTAACCTCATTATTACTTACCTGGTGATGCCAGCAGATGCGAGAAATATTTGTGAGGCGTCCGTGGTCAAATACTAGTAACTTACGAGTATCTTCTACCGTTCATTAATGGCCACGTTTCGCAGTCGTAAAGTAGAACAGAACGAGCTGTTGCTCAGCATACTTGTCTCTTAATTGATAGACGGATATCTCTCCTTCGTCGTAGGTGACGAAAGTTGGCAAAAGCCAAATGAGCTTTCTGAATGCGTGCTGAGATTTCGTGAGATAGCGACCGATTAGGGCTGATGAGACTTCGAAGATAAGTGAAGTTGTGGACGCGTTCGACTACTTCACTCCTTATCGTTAGTTCTTTTGTTGACGCAGACTAGTTGTGGAGCAACAACTTGCATTTAGAGGGAGAGAAGCGTATTCCAAACATTCTGGCATTGTCGCTCAATGCTACCAGAAGACTGCATTTTATCAGTGTCTTCACCAAACAGGACCATGTGATCTGCGTATTTAAGTCGATTAGTGGACCTTCTGGAAAGAGATGAATGCCCGAGAATTCAGTCGAGGAGTAGGTTATTTCCATCAGTATGTCTATGATGAAGTTAAAAAAATGGAGATGGACAGCCTGTTGGCCGATTTAAAACAGGGTGCGTACGTTGAAGGCTCTAATGTGTAGCTTGGAGCGAGGTTTCAGTAGACCTGGGAGTGTTTTGTGCACTAGAATCGTTGGCTATGGTGACAACTGAGGATGAAGTTTGGTGTAGAAATTCGATGTAGGAAAAATAAAAGGGATTGAAGAGGGAGGTTGATTATGAATACAGTGATCTTGAGCGCTGTTAGAGGTATGAAGGCGGTTATCACTTCCCGACCACCCACACCGTGGAATGGTTCTCCTGGAGGTACTTGAAAAGGAAATTGGGTTAGACGTGATCTTAATGATTTGAGAGCGTGACCCAAGGGACAACTACTTGAGGTCGGTCACACTCAACCTTTTTGTGAGTAATTGTTGGGACCTTACCACCGGAGACGGATATCCGTGGGATAAGGTGAGGTGTGTATTTTTAGGGTCGACCTTTTCTAACCCCTTTTTGTGGGAAGGCAGCATCGCTGTTATGCTGGTTGTCTGAAGGAAACACATTACTGCCGTCACACCTCTGTGAATTCAACAGTATGACTTGTCCCTCGGACCTTGGGTTTGCTGCTTTTAGTCTTACCGCTCTTCAGCCGATCTGCTTGACTGTCGTGGTAGGAACTGTCATTGAGGAACTATTGTTCCAGCCAGTATAGCTCGGTTGCGTCATCACGATAGGCGAACCCGACCACCACGTCAAGGTAGCAGCAACGATCGGGCTCTATGCATGTGTTCACACAAGGATGTGAATTGATGAGTACAGTGGGATGTGAGACAGACTAAAAGCATCTATTAACATCAGTGTGAAAGTCGTTTCATACCAAAACCAAAAACCCTTTATGACTTCTTTGCGAAGAAAAGAGCCTATATCTATTTACCATTTAGAGGAGAGTTAAACAGCATAATTTTCTAAGACTGAATGCAGCGATGGAGAACATAAATTGCGCTGCTAAACTGGCTGTTTTTAAAAAAAAGACTCCATGATTTCACACAAGCATAGGCACCGTACAGACGGCTACGCCATACCTGGTTTTTAGGTAACAATCAATTTAGCAGCGTTATATGTCTTTTCTGTGGCTGTGTGCAAAAGCGATTCGACACCTTTAATCATGCCTGGTAATTTTTTAAGGCATCTTACGGTATATGAGGGTGTGACGAATTACTATTCTTTACATATATTAGTTTTTTCTCTCCTTTATTTATAATTATCACTATTTGAACTTTTATTTAATTGACTTTCATTAGTTTTAACATATAAACTCCTCATTAAGTATACGTATTACCAGATTGTTCTGAATATATAGCGCAAATACATCACATTCTCCAGATCATCTCCACCTTCCTACTGTCCTGTCAAAAGAAATTTGAATGGAAACCACAATGCCTTAAAATAGGACTAGAAATAAAGGGATGCACTATTACTTGAGGCTTATTGTTCCACATTCTGTTCTCATCTGAAATCAGGAATTCCGAAAATAACCTTTTAAACACGGGAACTACCTCATAATATTACTACATTTTCTTATTCATTATTATAAAATTGTACCCTATATGCTTCGAAACCTGACTTTCGACCAGTGAATCATGGGTCAACCTGCCGAGGTCTAGACTATCAACCGGGAGACATTTAGTGTGATTTGTAATCTGAAACATGAATCTGTGCGTGGTGTCTGAGCTCTTGGTTATTCTTATCATATTTTAAAATTAGAGGAAGCTAAAGATATTTGATAGGTCGATGTATTCCAAACAAGTCATATACTGTTTTACGACTTGGATTAGAAATACAAGCTTGGGCACACTGTTATAAGTTAATTATTCGCGTAGTCAGGTTCTTTTCTGATATCTCTGTCGGTCTGTATGATCTACATTAAGATCGGTTCGACCTTTGAGATAAAGCTCCTTACATGCTTTCGGGCTTACTCTTAAGCAGCTATTTGTAATAGGCAGGAAGCACGAAAATCATATAGCCATGGATTATTGCGTAGCCTGGAAACATGGCTGTTAGCGACTACTCAAGATTTGCGTGAACTGTGTGGATACTATGCTTAGTCTAAAGGATTAATGCGTTTAATGACTAGTTATCGTCCTTGTAATTCATGCAACGAAACTCCCGATTGTCGGTTTGAAGGTCGTAGGAAAGCTAGTTTTTCTGGTTAGGGTCCGAAATAGTTATAGAGAGAAGCCGTGATCAGTAGAGTCCAACCCATGTCGAATGTGAGACAGTTATCCGCCTCAGGGAATGTATGAAGGGTCTTGCAAGATCATTAATTGATTAGGGTTAACACTGTTAGATGCCGACTCAGTGGTCGAGAGGTTGAGCCTTCGCACGCGAGACTAGAGGTCCTCAGTGCGGGTTCGTGGAGTCCCACCCTAAAACGAAACAGCTATCCAGGTTTTTATTGGTGGTATAACATTGAACGATCTATGAATGAAATGGTATAGTTTTAAGTAAGTTATACTGATTTTTAAGTTTTGGAGGTTCGTTTAATGGATTATTAGATTTTATTTTGGGTCGATGTTGAGTTAATTAAGTAGACCTATCTTAATACTCTATGATACCATTAGGCTACTTATGTGAATCTCGCTTAGTATATACACCCTTAATGTAATTAGTTTTACATCAGTATTGAGTACATTTAATAACTGAAATTGACAAATTTACTAGTTATTTTATTTCAAACAGTGCTTAGTAAGAGACTTAACTTTCCATATGTTCTATACCATCAGTCTGCTGAAAAGAATTTCTCCAGCATAACAACAGCCTACTATTCAGTAGGCAGTTTGTCTGTTTTATAGTTCTACCAGCTTTCCGTTAAGGTTTTATGGATTGATGGTTGTTATTTTCTCTCATGTTTAATAACCTTTGACCACCGCACTTCGCTTGACTTGCAATCAATCAATACAAGAGTGATTTTGTACTGTACTATTTCCTTTGAAGTTTATTTCATATCTGTTCAAAAGCGCTAATAATTTTTATTAACTTATGGCTCCTTGGTATGCCAGGTCGCTAAATGTTCATAGCGTCTGGTGTGATTTGAATGATGAAATATCAGTGACTTCATCTAGTGATATGGTTATTATATACAGAGTTCTATGTTTAACTAAGGAAGCATCATCGATGAACAAGGAGGATCCGATGCAGACGTAAAGGCGAGGATCGGCAAAGCAAGGGCCGCTTTCCTACAATTGAAGAACATATGGAACTCAAAACAACTTTCAAACAATATCAAAGTAAGAATCTTCAATACGAACGTCAAGGCGGTTCTACTGTATGGAGCTGAAACTTGGAGAACTACAACAACCACAATCAAGAAAGTACAAGTATTTATAAATAACTGTCTACGCAAGATACTCAACATCCATTGGCCGGATACCATCAGCAATAGCCTTCTGTGGGAGAGAACAAACCAACTTCCAGCTGAAGAAGAAATTAGGAAAAGACGATGGAAATGGATAGGACATACATTACGCAAATCATCAAACTGCATCACGAGGCAAGCCCTAACTTGGAATCCTGAAGGGAAGCGAAAAAGAGGAAGGCCAAAGAACACATTGCATCGGATAATAGAAGCAGATATGAAAACGATGAATTACAACTGGACGGAGCTAGAAAGGATTGCCCAGGACAGGGTTGGATGGAGAATGCTGGTGAGCGGCCTATGCTCCTTCACGAGGAGTAACAGGCGTAAGTAAGTAAGTAAGTATGTTTAACTAAGTGTTTACTAATTAGAATACCAGCAGGATTAGAATCCTGCCAGTCTTGTAGAAGTGCTTTGCAGTTCGTAGTTGCAAAGCACATACCCATACTTACGGACACTGATTGCCAACTGATTAAGTGCGGATTGCATGACTTGGGCATTATCGCACACTAAGGCAATATCATCCGCATACTCAAGGTCGAGAAGTCTTTCTCCAGGCAACAGATCTACACCACCATTACTTACATCCATTAGAGCTGTTTCCAGAATGTCATCAATGGCAAAGTTGAAGAGGAATGATGAGATTGGGTAACGCTTACAACTGATTGATCACTGGATGGTGATCAATGTCATATATGTCAAGTTCGTTTTTCGTGCAGATCGAATACTATCAACTAAATTACAATATAGTGACTCGATATTACCGACTGATTGTTATTTAATACTTCAATTGATCAATCTATTTGTGAATTAATGCAATACAAATTAGTATGCATATATCACAATTGATTGATCACTGAGTGGTGATCAATGTCATGCTTGTCTAGTCCTTATTAGTGCACCAGTTCCTTCAAGATTACAGGTACACCTTGCTGACGAGTGCCAAGTAGCACGAAACGTGGGTCCACGGTTTCCTGTCGACTACCTCCAACCACCATCTAAATCTCAGTATGCATATATGTCAATAACATACTGATTCATTGTAGTCTCAAATATCAATGGGAAAATTTCAGTAAAACAATACTCACTAAATAATACAATAATTATTCTAAGAAAGAAAGAAAGAAAAAACGTACTCCATAAGAATAAGAATAATAACAAGAGAAATCATTTATTAAAATACATTGAAAACTTCATATTCATTATTAAATTAGTCTAATCAACCACGTATATATATATATAGATTTCTTCTTTCTTTACTTATTCATTCATAAAGATTGAACGATTTATCAAATCAATTATCTTAACACTTTTAATAAAGTTTCTTCTTTCTTTTTGTTTTGTTTTTAAACAAAAAAAAGAGGGATTCATACAATAAAAGAGAATGAATAATTTTCATATTGGATATATATAGATATAAGTTGTGTTGTATAAATACTGAACTAAATAAACTAAGCAAACAAACAGCCAAACAAAGAAAAGGTATTTCATCGTATTAGATTCTGAAGGGAATAATTATTAATCACAATAAGATGATATAATAATAATAATAGATTGATAAATGATTAATCATTTTCCAATGATAAAAAATAACCGGTAGAAATGAATATAATACAATTGAACATTGAATAATAATAATAAAGAAAAAGAAAAAAAAAGAAAGAGTGAATGATTAAAAAAAAAGAAAACCAAACTATCATTATAATAATAAGTGGGGGTTGTTTTGTCTTGTTTTTCTTCTTCTTCTTCTTCTTCATTTTTAATAGTTTATTAATAATATAAATTAAGTGCATAATTGATGATGTTTTGTAGTACGTGATAAATGTATATTTAATTTATGCATTTTATCCATATAACCTTTTAATTCATCAGTTAAATATTCACTTTCTATTTCTAATCTTTTTAAATTTGTTAATATACCTAAAAATGAAGAAGAGAAAAGAAAATTTTGTTTCTAGTTATCCATGTGGAATGATATCGATATATTTCACAAATAATAAGTAGTAGTATTAGATTGATTGTTACTATTGTTATGATAGTTAAAAGTTAAACTTGATAATTAAGTTTGAATTACATTAGCAACTGAATGATAGATTAAGTTATATATGTAGAAATCGATTTTAGCATCAGTCAATCAGTTATTTACAACGTAGAATCAGGTACATATATGCATCGATCCAAGTTGACATACCACATTAACACAACAAAATCAACACCAAATTCATAGAAGTGGTTAATTCATTGGTGATAATATATAAAAGAAAGATTACATATAAGGACATGATACGTGAAGAAAGATATAAAGCGATTTTAATCTCATAGTTTAACGGAAGACAGAGAGTGTATACATTGTGATGGATTGTGAGCCATATCACCTAGTGTCCCTAACCATTGGTTACGATAGTCACGCAGACCCCAATCAAGTAGTCTGCATCTATCAACATGGCTCAGACTTGAAGTTTGTGACTTCAAGCACTGATGCCACGTCTTGGTTTGGCCGCCCCTAACTTTCTTCTAACCATTCCCAACACTAGTCAGCGTTGAGCGTAGTGGTAATCGGTGTTCATGCATACGTAACACGTGACCCAACCGTCTCAGTCGATGGAGATTCACAACCCGATCAACTGATTTACCGTCATTCCGTAATACCTTGCGTCTAACCTTACTATTACTTACCTGGTGATGGCAGCAGATGCGAGAAATATTTGTGAGGCGTCTGTGGTCAAATACTAGTAACTTACGAGTGTCTTCTACTCTCAATGACCACGTTTCGCATCCGTAAAGTAGAACAAAACGAACTGCTGCGCAGTAAACTCGTCCGTTAATTGATAGACGGATATCTCTCCTTCGTCATAGGTGACGAAAGTTGGCAAAAGCCAAACGAGCTTTCTGAATGCGTGCTGTGATTTCGTGAGACAGCGACCGATTAGGGCTGCTGAGACTTCGAATATAAGTGAAGTTGTGGACGCGTTTGACTACTTCACTCCTTATCGTTAGTTCTTTTGTTGACGCAGACTAGTTGTGGAGCAACAACTTGCATTTAGAGGGAGAGAAGCGTATTCCAAACATTCTGGCATTGTCGCTCAATGCTACCAGAAGACTGCATTTTATCAGTGTCTTCACCAAACAGGACTATGTGATCTGCGTATTCTAAGTCGATAAGTGGACCTCCTGGTAGGAGATCAATACCCGAGAATTCAGTCGAGAAGTAGGTTATTTCCATCAGTATGTCTATAATGTCTGTTAAACAAAAATGAAGAAAGCGGATAGCCTCGACGGACACCACTTGAAGTTGCAAAAGCAGATGACAGTTCGCCATAAGCTCTGACTCGACTAGTAGTGTTTGAGTAAAGATCCTTTATGAGGTTTGTGTACTTCCGAGGTAAGCCTTTTAATGACAGACACTGGTTTTAGTGTCAGTATGAATTGTTAGGAATTGAAATGTTGAAATGATTATTTTCAAGTGTTTTATGTCCTTTACTTCAAACAACTTGTTATGTAAACTACATTAAACACTGGGAACTTCTTTACTTTACGTAATTGACTATTAGGCAATGCAGTATTCATCAGGGACACTTAAGTTTCTTTTCTCATCATGTTTTCAAGACTTCCATGAACATCTCTCAGAAATCTCTCACTGTTAGGTCTATATAATCAAAACTCAGTTATTCGAATGATCAATCTGCAATGCTTTATTTTTTGGCATAATGGAATGAGATTATACTTTATAACTGGTGAATAATGGATTATTTTAAGCTTGAATACTGTTAAAAGTTTTCACATTTAGCAGTGTGCCATCTTGTTGTACATGCATTTTATAATGATGTATTTTAATATTAAACAATTAAGCAATTTCATACGCATGATGTACTGTTTGTCTATTATAGTTTGTGATCAGAATAGGGTTTGTGGAGACTAGTAATTTTAATAGTTGAATTCATGGGTCAATGTAAGCTAGACCACCATGGAAAACCTGGAAGCACTGGACGGCTGTTTCGTTCTAGTGTGGGACTTCTCATCAGTGCGCATCCACGATTGCGCACGCGGGATTCTGACTCAAGACCTCCGGTCTCGCACGCGAACGCTTAACGGCGTTGATTTCTGACTTCCATCCATCCATGAATGGCTGCGCAATCATTCATCCATAGTCTGAGGTAGATATCTGTCTCTTCTCGACACCGATTGGACTCTACTGGTCACTGCTTCTCACTAGAACTTCAGGAAACCATCTTGAACCCGGTCACTAATGAAGAAATGATGCTTATTATCAGAATGGGTTTTTTAGAGATTGTTGTAATTTTAATAGTTGAATTCATTATTTCAGGTTTTCAATAGTGGTCTAGGTTACATTGACTCACGAATTCAACCACTATAGTTTAGACAAAGCACAACGACAAGTACTAAGTAATTGTTTTAAATGTTTATCAGTCTACAATTTTGCCAATTTAAGACATAAAGGAACTTGATATTTACATTCAATGAAGTAAACGTAAAGGAATCTGTTGGGATATTCAGAAAAATATCCCGAAAATTATATTTTAAGTCTAATGCTATCCTTGGACTTGAAATGGCATCATTTTCCTATTGGTCAGTTTTTATTTCACGTATCGTTTCCCTACTGGTCAATATTTATTTCACGTGTCATTTTCCTGTTGGCCAAATATTGTACAAATGTTATTTTCTATTTTATGGTACGTTGTGGTCTGTCTGGTTAATATATGAACAGAGTATATTTGAAATATAACGATTCATATCGTAGAGGCTGAGACTTGTGTTCTGGACTTAACTGGCTGAGCTAGGCGAAAAGCAGGGCCAATCAGAACTCTAGACTGCTCGCACGTGTTTACGTGTGATTGTTTCAATCGATAAGTCACTCCTCTCTTCATTCGGCGGTCACAAGTTATAACAGAATCAAATAACTTTGAATTATTTCTAAACCAAATCATTCTCTAACTTACTTTTAACTTCATCTGTATTTAGTTCTAAAGTACTGGTATAATTTTGAATTTCTTCCATTAGTTTAGCTGGATCAGTTAATGTAGTATCTGGTAAACCTTCATCTTCAGTATCACGACCACCTGTATCTAGTGCACGCATCAGTTTGTCAAGTTCTAACATTTTCTCGTCTAATTGCTTGAATGTGACCTATAATTAGAATGAATAGGAAGAAAAGCTGTAAATTATTAAAACTTGTGTATATTCTCAATAAGGAATTGCTTTATATTTAAGATGTAGAAATGAGTTTGTGTTTTAAAGTATTCAGTTTACATAATGAAATACTTTGTTACACTGTAATCTATTACTGGTTCTTTGTGCTTTTGTTTAAGCTATTAATGGGCATCACTGTTAGAAGTCTTTTCGGTGAATTGATACATATATATTCTTTAATAAATATTCCTTTATAGTTCATCTTACCATGTCATTTGTGGAAATTTCGCTTTCATTATTTCTTGTTTATTTCCTTCAGCTGAATTTTGAAATTTTTCGTAAATGTTCATTTATCATATTTACTTAGAAAATGAATTTAGAGGTTAATTAAAACAAAACACATCTCAAAGTCGTCGTTTTAAGCATCCTTAAAAATACAAAGCATACATTACTATTAGGTATTATAGTATACTTCTGTTAAATGATGAGACCTGGAACAATGTTTACCCATTCTCAGTTCTTGCCTATTAGTTGCCTCTGACAGCTCTTCAACAGTAATGTCACAAAAAGGGAACAGAAGGAAGTCATTAATAACCGAGCCCCCTGTTTTTAGGAGTCGGAATTGTGATACAACAACTCGGTATGTAGTAGTAATTATGATCTTGCGACATAACGAAAGCCGAAAACTAAGCGCAAAGTTAACCAATCAAATAATAATAAAGATTATTGTAATTTGTCAGAACTAAAGTTTATTTGCAGTAATCATGAAAAATAAGATCATCTGAGACTTTCCTAACAGTTACTTATTAGAGCGATTTACGAAAGTATAAATCGGTTTTAGATTATCTAGAGAAACAAGAAATTATATCAGATGTTTCCAAAATTAAATGTACTGCAAGTAACCATGTCGAGCATTCGACTGAAAACATAGCAGACCTCATCATTCTACACGATTCATTTTGATAACTGTTTGCCTACTGAAAGACGAGTAGATAGTACAGATATCCTTTGAAATCAAATCATTGATGAGGAACGACATACAAAGCAAATTGTTCGGATGCGATGAGGTCATTGAATAAGGGAGGATGGAATTAGGTATAATGTTTTAAATTTCAATTGACCTCTTATGTTGAGATTTCCTATACGACCATAATCAACTGGCATTTGCATTCAACCTTCAAGAGTCACAAACAAATCTCTAACCCGTACAATAATCTTTCGCTCCGAAATTACTCAAGAATCATGAATTCTGATGTACTTGCGTTTTATTTAGTCATAGTATAAATAATTTTGAAAATTTATTATTAGCCACTGTGATTTCTTTGGCCGGATACCATCAGCAACAGCCTTTTGTGGGATAGAACAAACCAGCTTCCAGCTGAAGAAGAAATTAGGAAAGGACGATGGAAATAGATAGGACATACATTACGCAAATCATCAAACTGCATCACGAGGCAAGCCCTAACTTGGAATCCTGAAGCGAAACGGAAAAGAGGAAGGCCAAAGAACACATTACTTCGGGAAATAGAAGCAGATATGAAAAGGATGAATAACAACTGGAAGGAGCTGGAAAGGATTGCCCAGGACAGGGTTGGATGCAGAATGCTGGTGGGCGGCCTATGCTCCTTCACCAGTAGTAACAGGCGTAAGTAGGTAAGTACTGTAATTTCTTTATTATTGTGTTTCTTCAGATTTGTATGACTATTGTCAATATCCTTTATACAAAAGCTCGTAAGTAATGTAATGCCGTTGGTAGACAGTGTCAGTTGATGAGAATAATACAGAAATAAAAGTGTTACAATATTTTCACAATTGGAAAAATAAATATGCTAGAAATCATTTGTAATATGTACCTACAATATGAAAGATATATGTCCTCTCTCTAGGTTTAGTTGTAATGCCCCGAAAAGCTTCCAAGACAACAGAAGCTTCCTGTTTTTATCTCATTCATGTTTATTCATTAAAAATCTATTGTTGAAATTCTGAGTCTAATCACAATAAAATTTCAGTGTTTGATAAAAGGCCTTTCGTAATACGATCTGATTGGGACATTTTTTTCAATGGTTTATTCTTTTAAATAAAGACCTAAAATTTACTATTAATTATAAGCAAAGAAAATGGATCGTTTTGTTTTTCATAAAATGAATAATATAACTTACTTCAACAAGTTCAATTTGTTGTAATGTATCTAAAGTTTCACGTCTAGCAACATTAGTACTTGACAGTAGGTCATCTGCTACTTCAGAAGCCTCTTTCACTTTATCCGATTGTAGACTTGAATCACGTGAGAACATAATAAGTTGGTTTTTGAATCCATCTATTTGTTCAGTTAACTAGGGGAGATTAAAGGAGAAGGAGTCGAATAAATGTACATATAGTTAGATTAGTAAGCTTATTATCAGTAAAACAGATTGATAATTTACTTTTGTAAATTATTGCAATATTGTTTAATATCAATTATGTACTCATTAGTATTTATTACGTAAGATACTAGGGGGAAGATATTTCCCCCTTAAATATTTCAATCCTGATAGTAGGAGACTAATCACTCAACATGAGCTAATTAATTCGTCAAATCATAAATATAAATGTTTACTAACTTGTGTAATTTGATTGAATAATTCAATGTCATCAACTTTTTGAATAATTGGTTTCTCTTCTATTCCTTGGTAGATCTTATCGGCCTCTTTCAACTGATTAATTTGTTCCATAAAATCTTTTGCTTTATCTCTATACATAGAAAAAAATGCCATGAGATAAAAAATTTATGCTAACACATCATTTCTAATAGAAAATAATAAAGCTTTTGAATTGTGTATTAATCTCTATCAGTAGTTTCATTTCGTAAATGCATAGTCTTGTTTGTTGGAGATAGTCGATAGGAAGCTCTGGCCTTAGATTTCTAGGCACTCGTCACTGGCAATATTTCAAGCTGTGAGGTTGGGTAACGCGAATTCGAATCGCAAAGGCACCATCAATCCCTTCACGATTGTGGGTATACCTTGCTGATGAGTGTCATCTAGCACAAAATCTGAATCAAGCAGAGTTTTTTACTGGTGACTTTCAACCATCTAATATCTCAACATAATTTACGCAGTGTCACTTCATTTAGACTAGTGGCCACGTAATTTTACGGATCGAATTTAATCAATACTAAAGGACCAGATGATCCTGACATTGATCACTATTCAATGACCAATCTAATTGTAAACAATTTTACTTTTGATAAATTAAAACGATTCAAGGTATATGTGAAACGTTAGTACGACATAACTTTTTATATGTTCAGGTTACAATCATTTATTTATAACCCAATATTCACTTCAAAGGTGAATTAAATATGTAACACGTAGAGACAAATGACACAAGTCTCATCAAAATTTTTACCAAGAGATTAGCTAATGTCGAACTTGAAAGTTCCAGTGAATACGTCATTACTATATTGACCTCTGAGGATGTTTTATGATATTATTATTGTTCATCCGATAACTGACCAAAAACTGCAATAAAATTGAGAAATGTAACTATAAAGCAGGTTATATAACTGGATTAAACACAACTTATCAACGACGTAGATTGTTACTACAGTCAGTACAGTATATATTATGTAACCAGTTATATTTTACGTGTATGCTGTAGAGTTCTATTTAAAGTTCGTATTTAGTCATTAATATAGATATATTATGAAAATTCGCTACAAGAATCAATATCTACACCGGTTAGTGAGTAAGCTGAAGGCCTTAAATTATCATTGATCTGTCCAATAAATTTTCTAAAGCAAGAAAATGACAATAGCTTTAACATTAAGGGTTCTTTTTTCGGCCGTATTCATCCGAACGTTAAACAATTATTCGTGAACGTTAGATTAAAATTTTATCCAACGGAAATACCAACGGTCAACTGCAGTGGGAATAATCTTTCGTAGAATGGAATGTAACAATAGCTAACCGATCAGGAATGTTTCGTTTTATAAAGAACGTCTACACCTAAAACCTATGCATTTTTTAAATATCAAGGATCCTAATAGGCTGATTTAATAAACGTGATGTTATAATAACATGATTCCTGTTGCGCTGGTAAAAAATAAACATGTGAGAACTTAATGTACCATAGAGTAAGATGTTGATCGGTTTATTGATTCATACATAATCATGATATCTATATGTCTTGCAAAAAGGTCAACAGAGAAATTTAATTTAAGATTACTGGATCAATCTGATAAAATTTGCTTATAAGTATCAGTATTGCTCGACTATTTAGATTATGCACCAGTCCATTTCATATGATAAACCATTAACAATTCACAGAAGTCGAAAAATCAAAATTTCAACTTAATAGTTTCTAAGTGAAAACCTTGAAAGATATTCAGAACAGTTCATGAAATTGTTGAGCAAATGGGAACGCTAATACAAATAATCAATTATACATAATATTTTCTCTCAATGTATTTACCTAATAGTTTCAGCACGTCTTAATAAATTCCCAGTACGTTGACGATCCAATTCAGTTTCGGCTAAAATATGTTTAACTTTATCCTCCAGGTCTATAGCATATTTTTCTAATTGTTGAATTATCTGTTCTGCTTCATATAGACTAACATTCAATTTTGCATTTTGAAGGGTTCTTAAAATCTAACAAAATATAAAAAGAAATATTTTAGAGGGATAAAAACATCATTTATTTAACTATCCAATATCATGATGACATTATGACCGTAAAATAACCTCTCAAATGTAAGGACATATAGGTTACTTGCAGATTGATCACAAATATTTTCGAACCGCTATTCGCGTATAATAGAACCATCAATTGCATGATAAAGAAACTTAACTTATGAAATAAGATAGAGATGATAAATTTAGTTGCTGAGTTATTGAACCTTCATCGATAGAAGCAGTTGGAGCATATCTCATGTATGTTTTGTATATTTTACAATTTTATATCAACTAAATAACTTTTCTAAGAATTAGAAAAAGGCAGTTGATACTTTCCTTGTCTTATTCTTAGTCTTTCCAATTTATCTACACCTACTTTATTGAGCACCCCCAAATGCCCTGGTACGTCCGAAAGTGGGGAGAGTCAGCTCTCCCTCTCAAAATGCTCTCACATGACCACGCTTATACAGCCAGTACCAGGGAAGTCCTACTCATTGTCTTTTGGCGGCATTACTGTTGTTCACAAAATTGAGAGGATGGAAAGCGAATATTTGACTCTTTAACCGGGTCGTTTGACATGGAGGGTCCACCTAGGGGAGTACGAAAACCCTGATTCCAGACCAACGGTGCACATGAGTCCTAAGGGAACAAATGGTGTACGGACCAATTGTTGGTCACTGGCTACTATGTGACTGCATCTCCTGATGTTGCTCCACTGCCTTGTGAATCAGACCGGGTGTGGCCCCCTAAGAAAACCACCTGCTTCAGTCTGGTCACCCGGGCAGTATCATAGCCCACACACAAATCAAATGACTTGTGTGGCGCATATGTATTCGTTGCCCCCTTGTACCAATATGTATGTGTTCAAATAAATAAACAAAAACTTTATTGAGCTGAAAATTGATATTTTTTAAACGAATTTCAAGAGGAACACAATACAACCGAGTTACATTTACAAAATGAATAATCTTTTACATTATGTGACTACGTCATTTCTTAGTACTAATTAGTTAACAATATAGTTCCAAATACAGGTGAAATAACCTATAAATCTATTACTAAGTACATATAGATCACTTTTAAAGTTACTATGTTAAATATACATTTATTAGGTTAGCGCATAATGGATTTTTATTTAATCATCATTAATTATTGTATTTATTTGCATCACTAAGTTAGTGTTTTATTGAAGATTCTGTGTATAATACAGTGTAGATATTGCCTTGACCGTATAAGTCAATTATATAATATGAATTTCAATGGTTGAGATCATGAATCAATTGAAGCTAGACCACCATGGAAAACCTGAAAGCATTGGACGGCCGTTTCGTCCTATTGTGGGACTCCAGGTTTTGCATGGTGGTTTAGCTTCAATTGACTCATGATCTCAACCACTGAAATTACTATAATATCCACAAAAACCCTTCTGATATATAATATGAGTTAGTGATTTCGTAACTCATTGTTATTTTAATACAGATTTGTATTCACTTCTTATTTATAAAGAACTGAGAAAACAAACGAACTTTTAAGCAATATGCTAATATAAATGTTGTCAAGTCATCTAAGTGTATCGTAGTCAGAAATTACAGTTATGTTTTCATTTATTTAGTCACTCAATTGTAGATATTATGGAATAGTTTCTATTATACATTTATTGGAGATATGACTTTTGCTATATTGTAGTTTTTCTTCCATCATGACTGACCACGCTACACTTGACACCACCGTATCATGATAGAGTAGTATTTTCGTCGTAGAAAACTTTACATTTTTTCTTTTGAGACAGCAAAAACAACAGAAAACAGAACACGCTCTACTTCATGAACTACTATAGTGTAAATAATAATTACGGCTTTATTTTGGTTAGTTTCCGGGTGTAAGATGAAAATTGCAAGCGAGAGTGGAGTTTATTCTCAGTCATACCCTACAATTACCTGTCTGAATGTGTAATAATGTCTGGCGTAGGATTAAGTTGGAAGAAAAGTAGGCGCATCCAAACTAAGACCTGACAGTTGAACTGATCTGTGTAGACAGATGAAGATTACCGGGTTGAATTCTGGTCGATTATCGTAACCATTGATTTCAGACTTTGGAAAACAATTCAATGACACAGGTGTATTTACATCTTATCTTCCCTTAAAATATGAGTTCTAAAATTATCTTATACTTTATTTGTTTCGCGAATTCATTCTCTCAAATCACATATTGTTTATACTTAATCGTCCCAACTACTCATAATATTGTTCTTAATTCTACTCTTCTGATGTTCGTCTTGATTAGTTCATCATCTCATCGTCCTGATATGATGTTAATGACCGACTAACTAACAGCATAAATTTCATGAGATAAATAGTAACTAGAAATTAATTAACAAGACAATCTATTACAGTGAATGTCATTTACATTTTTGGATGAAAACATTCATTTATTATCATTATTATTATTGTTATTACTATTATTATTATTATTCACTTGGTATCATTTATTTGTATCTCCCCATTGTTATTTAGGCCTGTAATTGATCAGTCTCTTATTGGCATATGTGCATAGTGTGCGTATTGCCTCGATATAGCCTTAATTCACAAGCATTATATTCAAAGAATGATAGTGGCTAGCAGTGGAATTCAGGACACGCATTTAGTCCTATTTGGGACTCGTCAGCTGGATGTACCTGTATCTCAGAGTTGATGTTCACTTTGGGACTCGGATCCAGTGCCGTTCGCTCCAAACGCCTTCACTTTATCCACTTAACTACTGAATCCTGATAGCCACATACTTTTGCGATGAGGGTACATCCAGCTGACAGGACGAAACGTGCGTCATGGATTTCACTGCTGGCCGCTATCTATCTTTGCATTATATTATTATTATTATTAATAGTCTACATTAATGAGAATAATGAATTCAATATCTTTGACTTACTTCATCGAATTTCTCTTGACTCATACTACTGTATAGATTGACATATTTTTCAGCTTCATTTATTAAATTTTCTGTAAGATTATACATATCAGCTATACGTTCTTTTATAGTTATTGCTTGTATAGTTAAATTTGTTACTGTTTGTTCAGCAATTCTACGACTTGAATTTACCTATTATAACAATAATAAATGAAATTATTATTATTATTTTTCACCAGTTGAAATTATGAGTCAATTGAAGCTAGACCACCATGGAAAACCTGGAAGCACTGGACGGCCGTTTCGTCCTAGTATGGGACTACCCAGCAGCGCGCCTGGCGCCAGACTGATTGGTCCTGGATTCGAATCTCGCGGGGGTCGGGATTGTCAGTGCATCCAGGTTTTCCATGGTGGTCTAGCTTCAATTGACTCATGATTTTAACCAGTGAAATTTCTAAAAATCTCCACAAAACTCATTCTGATATTATTATTTTGTTTATTTTATTATGATAAGATCGATTACATAACATGTAAATATTTGACTTTTGAAATAAGAAAATGAAATTGTTTATTTTTAAGCCATTCAAAGTTTTATTGAATAAGAAAAAAAGAATTCAATGAAATCATTTACTAAAGCTGTACATTCGTATATATATAATTATATAGAAAATATATGTCTACAGGAGGATAGAAAAGATTGCATCATAAATGGATTCGAGACTAAATAACAAATGAGGTTACGTAATAATCATTGTTCGTTTGAATAATATCACCATCATCACAAATTTGAGGTAGAAGTAAAGTGTTCGAAGTTCTCCGTATATGACTCAAAAAAACTATCCTTTAGACCTCGATCTTGATTGGCTATTATTGATTTTTAATCAATGGGACATATAATCAAAATAAAGAAGTAAACAATGACAAGTTAAAGGTCAACAGGATAGACTGTAAGTCATATGTAGAAAACTTCGAACACTTCATTTCTACCTGAAGTTTGTGATGATGATGTTATTGACGACCAAACCATCCGGCTCAGAGAACGAAACTCCATCCAACTTATCCACCTGATGACATCCTACCAACGGTTAAACCAAATCAAGTGTAATGTTCTCTCAACTATTTCTCAATTATTTAGTACCAAGTCATTTGCCTTATAGTAAACTAACGCTATCAGAAGGGGTTTTTTTAGAGATTGTAATCATTTCAATAGTTGAGATCATTAACCGATTGATGTTAGACCACCAGTGGAAACCTGGAAGTACTGGACAGCCGTTTCGTCCCATTGTGGGACTCCTCAGCAGCGCGCATCCAATTTGATTTTATGCTGATCAATACGTATTTTTAAAATCTGACATACAATTGGTTATCGCATCATTTCTCTAGTCCAATTCCTGTGTTTTAATGAAATCGATAAACCTAGGTAGTTTATTGAATAATTCATACTGAAAATAATTTTGAAAAAATCTTTTAAACAAATCAAAATTTCGTCCAAGAGAATTGTTCATACGTTTTTACTAAGTGAATATAATGATTTCACAGATTGAAATCATGAGTCAATTGAAGCTAGTCCACCATGGAAAACCTGGAAGCACTGGACGGCCGTTTTGTCATAGTATGGGACTCCTCAGCATACGGTGGCGCAACTTCGTGGATTGGTTGAAGTTAGACATTAACACCGTTGGATGCCGGCTCAATGGTCTAGTTGGTTAAGTGCCTGGCGCGAGACTGATAGGTCCTGGATTCGAATCTCGCGGGGGCGAGATCGTGGATGCGCACTGCTGAGGAGTCCCATACTAGGACGATACGGCCGTCCAGTGCATCCAGGTTTCCCATGGTGGTCTACCTTCAATTGACTCATGATTTAAATCTTTGAAATTTCTAAAAATCTCCACAAACCCCTTCTGATAAAATGATTTCATTGAATTATCTAATAATTTGTTAAACAGATTATATTCAACCGATGTAACCATTAGTCATAAGTTGATGTAGAGTTTTGTATAGAATATATGTATTAACAGTTATTAATTACTTCTCGTCAAATGTTAAAACATTGAAAAAATTTGATTGGAACCTCTTTAGTGAAACACAAACCATTGATATGGATAGGGCATACTTTGTATATCATATTTTTAATGTACTTAGTGATGTATACAAAAAGAAACCTAGATTTGCCGGTTGAATCTATCAATCGGAATAAAAATAATAATAAATAGAAATTTCTAATGTGTATAATAGTTTTGATATAAATGTTCAGTTATAATCAAGTAATGAATGGAATCAGAAAAAAAGAAAAGAGAAAGAAGCAAAACGAACCAAACAAATATGAATAATTTTCATTTACCTTCGATATCGCATTTTCAGCTCTATAAACATTATATAATGCATTAGTTAGACGAATTTGAAGATTTAAATAATCTTCCATACGTGATCTTAATCTTCCAGCATTACTTGCATTACATCCAATATTTACACCACATGTACTAATTAGACCAGTGTTTAAATGATTCATTAATATATTTTTAGTTGTTGATATTGTATTGAGATTTGATGATTTTGAAAAAAAATAATCACATCCAGCACCACCACATGTGGATGGACATACTTTTTGATCTGTATCTTCAGTTGGTGGTAAACTATTATCTCCACAAATCTAGAATAATTCCAAATTTGGAAAAAAACATGAAGGAAAACAAGTAATTAGTTAGAATAGGGGAGAGATATTGAAAACATGAAATGTGCTAAGTTGTTTATAGTAAGTCATGTTATATATTTATCAGAAGGGGTTTTGTGGAGATTTTAGAAATTTTACTGGTTGAAGTCATGAGTCAATTGAAGTCAGACCACCATGGAAAACCTGGAAGCACTGGACGGCCGTTTCGTTCATGGTGGTCTAGCTTCAATTGACTCATGACTTCAACCAGTGAAATTTCTAAAATCTACACAAAACACCTGATAATAATCATCTGCTCACTAGTGACTGACTTCAAGAGATACTCTTGGAGTTCTAGTGAGAAGCCGTGATTAGTGGAGTTCAACAAGGTCGGTTGTGAGATATTAACTCAGTGAAGATAATGGTGTACGGTGGCGCAACTTCGTGGATTGGTTAAGGTTAGACATTAACACCGTTGGATGCCGGCTCAGTGGTCTAGTTGGTTAAGCGCCTGGCGCGAGACCGATATGTCCTGGATGCGGATCTCGCGGGGGGCGAGATCGTGGTTGCGTACTGCTGTGGAGCCCCATATTAGGACGATACGGCCGTCCAGTGCATCCAGGTTTTCCATGAGTTCAACCATATATATATATATGTTTAATAAGTGTTTAGTACACGTTTGTTTTATGGTTTTTGTATTTAATATTTCTAATACATTCTCTTTTCACGCATTCATTAACTGTCTTTTTTTTCAGTTGTCCATAAATTAAATTAATGAAAAATGTTAGTAATGTAAAACATTGAATATCAGATTCAGTAGTCTAAAGATTAAGTTCTCACCACGAAGTTTGAAGAGCATGATGGAGTTTTGATTGTGAAGTGCTTAGGATTTACATTTTATAACTAAACACGTGTCCATTCTTCAATGGATGATTAACTAAGGTCAATTAATAGTGCATACTATAAAATAACGATAAATGTACTAGTCGATATTCTATCAGTAATGTACTCATCAAGATCTACTATTTACGATTAATCGTAGTATTTTTTTAGTTAATTATCCACACAAATTACGAGTTCATATAAAGACAGATACTGATAACAATTTATTTGAACCTTATAATTTTCTGTTTGAGAGTTTATGGATGTATAACTTTTCATGGTTCACCAACCATTGTGAATACAATCACTCTGATAATGCAATAATTGTTAGTGGAGTTAATTTTTTTAAAAAAAACATGATAGAATCCACTATTTTAATAAGCATATTTCACCCAACTAAGTTTCCGTAAATAAATATACTAACTCGATTTGCGCTTTCAATTCTCATCTCCTTTTTATTCGACTAAAGTTTTGCATAATAAATCATACTACTTGTAAATATTTAGTAATTCATGTCATCGACAATCATTTTTATGGCATCTCATTTAATTGTGGTATTTCGAATTCTCTACATAAACGTATGGCAGTTCATTCATTTATTATGTTTATTGTATATGCTTAGCATGCTTAATAATTAATTTCATCTCATGTATACTCATCTAAATTTGTTTATTCGTAATAATGTACATATTTTGTGTTCTGATTTCATATTTCGATTGTTGACAATCGTTGCGGTAATAACACCGGTACTGATTGTTACATATTTGTTTTAGTCATTAATTTCTATATAAACATCCTAGAAAGAGTTTTCTCTTGGATTGTACATTGACCTGCTAAACACATTTGACTCTTGTAAATGAATTACCTTTGTCCTACTTCATAAAAGTACTATGTTTGAAACGAAGCTCATGTTTTTTGATTTTGGGATTTCTACGAGTAACTTCGTCATTAAATCAAAAGTATCGAATGAAATTAATTAAATGTATAAATATAGCTATATAAATAGTAAATTTTATAAACCATTCGAGGGAAATACACATACCAGTCTATTAGTTTGTCGAATTTTTTCACGAAATTCTTCGATTCGTCTATCTAATTGTGCCCAATCTGAATTTAACTGATCTGCACGTGTTTGTACTGCTTCTAATTCACGTTTAGAGTTTGATAAGTCACCTTCTAATCCACCACGTTGATGTTCTATACTAATTTGTGTGTTCATGGCTCTATCACCAATATCTTTTGAACGTAGAATTGATAAATATGCTCCTATAAAATATAAAGTTTATTTAAATTCTTTCAAATATACATGACTATATACACACTCAACATTGAAGCTTTTTTTCTTATGGATTTTAATAATGATAATAATAAATATTATTAGTAGTATGGTCTACCTTTTTAAGTAGACTAGAAATGAAATTTAGGAAATTCATTATTATAAAGGCAAAAAAATTAGTTAGTTTAGACAAAAAGACAGATTGAAACATTACGTCTCGTTACAGATTTGTGTGTCGTTACAGATTTTAGATCGACATATCAAGGAGTACTGAAGAGACTAGTTTGGTTTTTAGGTCATATTTACCACAGATTGATCTTAGTTTGGGTGCCGTTGGAAACTAAGAAGAAGTATAATCGTCAGCTTACTAGCTAATTCAAGATTTTTGTGAAGTTTTACCGAGTTGTAGCTGGTAGGGTTGAAACATGTCGAGAGTGATGTAATTGCCAACAACAGCACTGGATGATCATTACGCTATATTCCGAATTGATTGAAGTTTAGATTTTACCTCTGGATACGAAAAAAGTGGCTCTAATCATTTTTTGGATTTGCTAAATGATCTGAAGTTTCTGAGCTTGAACCCTAGTGTGAGCGGAAACTTCTGAGTAGACCCGCACTAGGACAAAACAGCTGTCTAGTGCTGCCTGGTTTTCAATGTTAACTTCGATCAGTGTGTGATGAATATGACCTATACAACCGAGAATAAATCTGGAGATAATGATAAATCTCAGAAAGTGAACATAATCTTGTTGAAGAAGAACAGAAAATCAGAAGAGAAACAATTAAATGCATATATAAATGAGCCACTTAAAAACTACGAAAAAAATCAAAGGTATCGACATTCGCTTTACTACAAACGATCTTATCATTTCAATTCATTTGCCATCAATTCCAATTGTCTTTCTTAATAGTTTCACCGTTTAACAGCATTGACTGAATATTCCGATCCTTCACTTTCAGTGACCCTTGGTTTGGTGCTGTGAAATAAAACGAAGTACCATTATACAAAATACTATGTCAACTATACACGTTTAGATATCTTGCTTACATCATGTGTTGTATCATTTTGTAAAACAAAATAAATTAGTCATTTGTATTCATGCTGAGAGTTTTTAGTCCATTTGCACAAACAACAGTTCTACAACAAGCGATGGAACTATGGTGTTCACCGCTTCATTTTATTTTACTAAGTAAATCATTGATGTAGCCCATTTGTAAAACATTTATTCTGATAGTTAATAACAAGTTGTATGTGTTTTAGCTTCAATATAATGATCTAAATCACGTGTTAAAGCCATTAAAACGAATTCTAATTATTAATTTTTCTACTCCGTGTCTATTATTTCTTCTGTAGCCTAGTTTCATAGACTTTACCAACCATAGGTTTGAACCTTCATCGTTAATCTTGAACCGATGAGACATTAGCTCCTATTGGTCCGCTACAATCAAGTCTTTTTCTATTCTTTGTCCAAAGAGAAGTCAGCAGCCAGCCTCTACTAAACTCATATCAATCATGGCTCATTACCCATATAATAAAATAAAATATTGACCACACATCAAAATAATCAAGAAAATACGTTAACGGCACAACCACATCATAAATAGATGAGAATTATGTAACAGGTCTGTAGTAAATGAACAGCATTTTATGAGAGGTACAATACACAACAATAGTTTATTCATCACAGAAAAGCTTACAAGTAGGATAATACCAAAAGTACGTAATAATTATACAACAGAAATATAAGCAATAGCTTTTGGTAGGACAGTTTCAAAAGTTCAAATTTTCCAATACTCATTCCGTTATGACATTACAATTACTTCAGTAGTGTGATGGATATGAAGCAAACCCTGTGACAATTAGGTAAATAGCGTAAATGACAAGACCATGTTATAAGAAGAGTTGTTACATTTCAACATTTGTTTTGAAACCATGTAGGTTGGGAAACTGGAGCTTTGTCACTAATGAACACATTTAGATAGCTCCAATCAATAAGAGAATTCAAAATTGTTGAACATATGTTTCCAGCTAAGCGAATAAGTGTTACTATAAAAGAGCAGATTAGTGTAAAAGATTAAAAGCATACATATTTGGCGTCATCTTTAGAACAAGTTCAGCATTGAAATCAGTTACAATGTTGAAAGTAAAAGAACAAGTAACGATTAGAGAAATCAAACGAGGAAGTCTAATTTATGAAACAAACCATATCAGCTGTGAGATGTTTTTCAACCAATGATACTTGAAGATGATTGAGCGATATCACAAATTGATTGGAATTAGAAATTTAAACCATTGGATCCTAACTCAGTAGTCTAGTGTTTGACTCTCTCCATGAGACCTGAAAGTCCTAAGTTCAGTCCTCGGTAAGGTTATGGATGTGCACTGATAAGAAATCCCATTCTAAAATTAAACAGCCGTCCAATGGTGTTTCTTGGTTTTCAACGGTTGTTTAACTGAGGTTAGTTCATGATGTAAACTATCAAACTAAACAATGTCCACAAACATCTTACATAAATAAAAGTAGTTTTTTACTTACCTTTTTGATCAAGATGTTCCAATTTTATTGACTCATCCATTATATTTTGCATTTGTGCTTTTAGTGTTTCAAGACGTGCTTTTGCTTCATTCACTACAGCTTTACGCTCTAACTGTTGAGCGAATCTCTCTGTTATTAAATCATCCCATTTTACTAAGCTATCAGCGAATTGATCAAGTGAACTTAGACGCATAACAATTTCTCTAAATAAAGAGGAGTAAACAAATAAGATTAGGGTGAATAAAAATTAATTCATATGTCTTTTCTATACTTGTGTAAAAGTGTGATGGAAGTCAAAAAATGTAATCGAAACAATATGAATAACGTTATGTTGATGAAAACATTTTGAAGGAAAATAGTTTGGTCGACAAACAACAATTCGGTACATTTACTTGGGTAAAATATCGTGGTAACTCAGGGTTAATAAAGTCAGTGCCTGGACCAGGTAGGCAGTTGTTAAGAAACCATGTTTGACTTGAGCTTTGTGCTAGTTGCCACTCAACAACAAGGTTTGATTAGAGTCTTGAGGAAACTGAGAATCTCTGTTAAGTTCAAGCACTTGTTACCCGGCTTCACAGTCTGAAACATTACCACTAAGTTATTCAGATCCTGACTGACATAGTGTAGGCAACTAAATTAATGGCCATATTATAACTTGTTTAGTATAATTCAGTCAGCACCAAGGACTAGACAAACATGGTATTGGTTGATACTTCGTGTTTAGTCAATTCAAGCATCTCAGTTCTTCTGGAAGTTGGTCATGACCAGAATAGCTCGCTGGTGACGTTTTGCACTGAGAATCAGAATGAATCAAGTTAGAATTTTACATTGAGTATCAATCCCCTCAAAACTGAAGGTATGCCTTACTGACCCGTGCCAACTAGCACGAAGCCCTGATAAACCGAAATTCCTCAAAAATCTGTCTACAACCCACGAACATCAATTATTATTTTGCAAATAAATATAAAAAGTAACCATGAGAAATACTAGATTATTGATAGACAATCGCTGAATGAGATTTTGTGATCACTTTATTGTCCATATATCATTTGTAAAAACTAGACATGTTTGTTCACGTCTTTATACACTACTCCAATGTCCAAAAATTCGACGAGCAACCTGTTATGACTAAGACGTTAGTCGAAATCACTCGCTCTATTCGCAAATCCGAAATCCGATTATAATCTTTGCTACTCCTCATATGCTATTTCGTCTTCAGCCTAACGTCCATAGCCTTGACCAATGGAATGATCCAATCGAAACGAATAATCTCGAGCTAACATAAGCTCAGATCCTATTGATCTGATCATACACAAGCATTATATTTCCAGCTCTAATCCCGAAACGTGAAGACAACAGCTAAGTTTCCATTATCTTTTATTCCAAGTACTCATGGGTTTATATGTAGATATATGTAGATTATACTTACGCATAAACAAACCTAAAATGGTAGTTAAATCGATCAAATTGTAGATGATTGATTTAACAATAAATTAGGAATAATGAAACGAACAATACTAGTTGTTGAATTGAATGGAAGTTTGTAGTAAACAGAATATACTAACATAGTAGTCTGATTGCATAGTAATTGTGAAATAAGAATATGTAAATAATAATACATATCATAAGCAAAGATGGATAGTGATTAGCAGTGGAATCCATATCATAGTTTCGATATTTACCGCTTCTTCACTATTTGCTTCATTATAACAACACAAATGTCTATAGCCCTCTGGTTCCTTGATTAACGATAATTTATGGTAAAAGTTACACATTCATCTATGGATAAAATAATAATAATTTAACTAATATATTATTATTTCAATATGTAGCTGGATTTACATGAATTTGACCTGTTAAGTAGTTCACACCGTTTTGATGATGGTTGATCTAGCTAGCAGTTAATTTATCTGAAATTAGTTTAATGGAAAAACTCCAGGAATGTCATATAACAATTATTGTGTCAAAGTTTTAGGTGTTTCCTTCACACTATGAAGGTCATTTCCGTTGGGCAGGGATATTAGTCGTATCATCATTTTATTATTATTAATATTATTATTGTGCTCAAACATTTATGACAAACGTGTTTGTGTGTATTTTTGTTTATTGATAATAATCACTTACTCGCTTCGTTTTAATACATCACGGAATTCATTCAATCTTGTATCATCTGTTGTCATCCATGGTAAATGTTCAATTTGATCTAATAAGCTGACTAAACTGTCAAACATGATTTTTAGTTCTTTAGGTAACTGTTGACCCGTTTGATTCTGTAAACGATCTAATTCACCTAGAAAATATTATTTTAAAAAAGATAATTTATGATTTTGATGTAATTGTGGTGCATGCTACTTATGTCGATAGACATAAGTAATACTAGTCGGAAATGAAAAACCTGACAGTAGAGGGCTAAGAAGATCGAGCTGAAGAGAACAGAAGGGAAAATAGAAATAAATTGTGAACTTCAAGAATCATGCAGAATATGAAGGACATATGATGGTTATGATGTATTTAGTGTATGATTCTTATAGTCTGTAATTTTGTATTAAAATGCATTGGTTGTCCCCACCTTAGCGTTCGTTCACTGTACAATAATAGTAACAGTTGTATTTGTTATTTTAATTCTCATTGTAGTAATGGTAATACAGGAGAAAGAAAATAAGAGAAAATGAGCTCATGCTTTTAGTATTGCTATCTATATATGAAAGTTTTATTAAAGCCACATATTCTCTTGAGTTGAATATAATTTATTAACATAGAAGTGTTGTTGTGAGTTAGTTGTCCGATTTATCTAGTTTGCATAGATTGAGCTTCGTATTAATAAGTGCTGATGATCGTTTCTACCTTGAAATAAATGAGATTACAAAAACTGTGATAAGTGTGTAAAAGGATACAAATTAACTTGAATTCTGACAAGGAAAAAAGTTCAAATTACTCAAGATGTTATTTAGTTCTTGGTTTCGCTGTGAAGACTTGTTAAATGTTAATCTTGAGTGATAAGTCTTCTGACTGAAAGCTACTTGTTATGACTGATCGTCGCTGATTCTTATTTCGGAATTGCTTATCACGTATACTTGTCAAATGAGGAAACTATGCAATTCCAACGACGCAAAAGTAAGAACACAAGACTGATATAAGTGAAGATTTATTAACCTCAAAACACAACGATGACCCTAGTCGAAAATACACTCATTCATACATTGAATTAAAGAAGACGGAAATAATGCTGAATAAAAACCATAATAAGTAAATCAATCTAATTTTAACTTTTCATCCAGTCATATCATTGACAATCTGTTTGAACGGGTAAGTATTATTTTCTCATGAAAACTTGATCTAGTAAAGTTGGATAAATATTCAATCTCATATCAACGCAGATCCTAGTCAATAGAGTATTTGTGGGAGGCATATACATAATCAGACAGCTTCTGATCTATATGGATCGATAGAGCTACAGACGAGTGAAGACGATCTTTTGATACGTGTTTATGTCAAAAGTCGAAAATTTGAACGCTTTAACTTCAAGGCTCACTGAATATCAGTTCGAGTTTTTGTTAGTTTTCTTCAGTCTTAACTGTTCGTTAATGCCAGTACACGATTACTGCACTGCCTCAATTAAGGCTTTTATTTAGCCTACAAAATGTTTGTTGTGGGACATCAACGAGTAATAAACTACACTTAGGACACCACTTTGATCCTAATAGGGGGTGGGGGTAATCACAAAAATTATGGTATCTATTGTAAATTCTGTCCTGTTACTCAAACTCTTACATACACATTATTACTGTAATACCATAAATTAGCAAAAAAAGACTGGAATAGTAATAGCATTGTGGTTCTTGATATTTCTTCAGGTTGTGCATTTAATGATGATAAGGGATAAGTGGATGGATTTTACCAGAGAAACATATGCTTCACTAAGTTCAGAAGATGGAAACAACCAGGCCACAAATCTATAAACAAACTACATTGTTTGTTAGCAGCTCTCTAGAATACCTCCGCAGTGCAACGTGAATTCCTCTTAACAAATACTAATGGTTAGCCGGTTACAATTCGACAAGCTTTGGAAATCAAAGTACTGTCAAGAGAAAGTTATAGATAACTCAGCGGGACCAACACAAGTAAAACGATCCAAATTGTAGTAAATGGGTATAGAGTGTACTTTAGTATTTTAAGATCACAATGCTTTATTCCCTCTGATGAAAAGACATTCAGCAGGTCATGTTGTAGAAACAACACAGACTCTAATTCTGAATGGTCATTTTATCATCCTGAATAGCGAAATCTATTTTAAGCATTCTAATCTTGTGGAAGTATATTTCCAATTCGAATTTTCATTCGAACACTAAAAATAGACAATGCTCACGATGAAAAGAATGTTCAGTGGAGACTCTCCAAATGGACGACATTCTATGAGAGCGTCTGCAAACACTAGTCACTAGTAAACGTATTAGTAAGAAGGAAATCACGAATAACAAATCATGCAATTCTCCAGGAGGATGGATCTTTAGGTAGGAGAGTATATAGAATGAGTGGTAGACGGGGGAATCGCTTGGTAGATTGTGTCAAACTACCTGCGAATATTAATCGATAAGAAACAGTAGACGCTGATAGATTCGATCTTGATATGTTCCGGCTGACCCTAATGGGACTCAAAAGTCTTGTTTCTTATCCACAGTCATAGAAATTACCAACTAAGAAAGCGGTTTCTAAGAAAATTGTTGGATCACTGTAAAAGACTATTCCTTAAATATGCTGTAAGATCGTTCTGCTTTATTGCTGGAGATATTAAAATACTTCAACTAAATATGCTATCACACCTGAATCATTATAATAGTTGTTGTTGTAGCTAACCTCGAAAATGTCACACTCTTACCCGGTTTCAGTTAATTATGTGAGTCAGTTGAAGATTCAGCTCTTATACAAATCATATGAAAATCTACACACCACAATATAACTTAATTAATTTGTTTATTCATATATATTTCGAGAAATATAAAACTAAAATAGATTAACTGAAATAAAGAATAGTGTAGTAATAATTAACTTACTAATAACTTTGTCGATTGCTTTATCCCAGTTATTCCAACATTCACCACATGGTACACAATCAGGTAGAATACCTTCAGTACCTCGGTCACATCTGTCGCATCGTTGGCCAGTTATACCCGTTCTACATGGACATTGACCAGTTAATGGATCACATAAATCACTTGTTGAACCAATTCGATCGCAATTACAAGCTATGGGGAAAAAAGGAATTCTATTTGTTAAAAAAGTGATATACAATCAACATAAAGGGAAATACCATTACTTAACAGAAACGCCTAGTGTTAAAGAAAATTTTTTTCAATAAATGAGAGTATTAATGAACTCACGTTGACACCCGTCTGGAGTAGTTGGATCGCTATAAAATAGTCTTCTACACTGATCACATCTACGCCCACTTCGGTCTGGTTTACAACGACACTGGCCCATAACCTGGAATATATTAGTAATATTGTTGGAATTAAATTGTGAACAGTAAATACTGAGTTGAAACTCAATGAGTATTATCTATCTAGCAACAATTTATCAAGGTAAACTAACGAAACATACTACTGGAAAATGTAATTATTTAGAAGTCATTCATACTAAGTAGTATTAAGTGGTTGAATATAGTCAGCAAGCAAACCTGCTTAATCTAGGTTTTATTCTAGATGGCACTCATTACCAAGGCGTAAATAAAACCCTGAAGGAACTGAGGCTGAGTAATTTGAACTCGCGTACCCAACCTTAAGGCTACATTACCACATGATCGATAGAATTTCGTCAGCATTAAAAGAATAGTTGAGATCATTAGTCAGTTGAAAGTAGACCAACATTGTAAACCTGAAAGCACTGGACTACACATTTGCCAGTGTCTTCAGTAAGTTACTATCTCAGAACAGACCCGGTTGAACTCCACTGGTCACTGATTCTCACTAGAACTCAAAGAAATACTTCTTGAAGTCATTCCCTAGTGAGCATGTGTTGTTTAGTTTCAGAAGGGGTTCGAATTTCACGAGGCAGGATCTTGGATGGGCATTGCTGAGGGGTCCTATATTAGGACGAAACGGCCGTCCAGTGATTCCAGATTTTCCATGGTGGTCTAGTTTCAATTGATTCATGATCTCAACTATTAAAAATACTTTTATAAGGTAATGATTATATTAACTGATATTTTATTTTCAAAGATACAAAAGAAATAAAAGAAAATCCCACTTAATATGAATTATCAACCTAGTGTTGTTAATTAGTTGTGAAATGTATATTTATTCTTCCGAAGTTCTATACCATTTTATGAAGTTCACAAATTTTAAAATACGATTAGATTATGAAACTGGATAGTACGATACATCAACTATGAATTGGTACAAATTATAGCTTCATCAATGTATATTCTCTTTTAAAAATATAACTTTCAAATGAAGTGATACTTACCGGATCACATAAATCATCAATTGAACCAGTTGGATCACATAAACATGGTTCACATCCTTTACCAGAAGTTAAATTGAAAAAATATGGTGCACATTCATAACATCTTGGACCAATTACATTTGGTAGACATGAACATTGTCCATTTTCACGATTACAACCTCCAGCACCTTCATCAATGCTACCTAATGGGTAACAATTGCATGGCTGACACATTTGACGTGTTGCATCACCCCAAAAGCCATCTTTACACTGTAAAAAAAATACGATAAATAAGTGAGAAAGTTTTGAAATAGTTTTTTCTTGTCTGAAATGTTTACATTAAAATGCTATCTTTAATTAATGTGATCCCATTCACAAGAACATGGAGACAGAATGAACCAATCATATAAATATGTCAGCTGAATATCCCTTTTGCCAGTGTTAATGTTTACATCACAACTCGAACGCGATACCCTCCACTTTGAAAGTCAACGAGTTATCTACTGAGCTACTGAGTCCAGGTAACCACTAACGTTTTGATAATAATAGTGGAATATAGATACATCTAAGTAATGCTTCTTAAAAATAACTTAATGGACATCCTGAATTCCACTCTTAGCCATAATCTAACTATTCCAGAAAGATTGTGATAAAATGGTTGTATCAAGATAAGATAAATATACATAAAACAATGATTAACCAAAATTCAGTCTCCAAATTAACCACAGAATAGTTCAAACCCATGTTAATACTAACATTAAAATGTAAAGTGAAAGAGATAAACATAATTTTATGTGATAATTCACTGAATTAATTCCAAACTTACTATATCACAGTAATAACCTTCTGTATTATGTAAACACTTCAGGCATTGTCCAGTGATTGGATCACAGCTGCCAGGTACATTAACTGCAATATTTCCAGAACATTCACATGGTCGACAAGAGCCACCAGGTTCAGTTGGATTCCCAAAATAGTTCGTGGCACATTGACTACATCTCGGACCTGAAAAAAAGATATATATGTACCACATGTACCAGTTAACAGTGGATTTTATTTTCCTTAAATTAACCTCAATTTTTAAATCCCCATCATTTATGAAAGTCGGTTTTCTATTCTCTTTGCTAGAATTAGTCGATGGACTTGTGAAGTTCACACATGTAGAAGATGAGACAAATACCATTAGTCACAAGTGATGATGGTAGCTTAGTATCGTGAATAGATAAAGGTTAGAAATGTAAACCATTGGATACCAGTTTAGTTATCTGAAAATTAATTGCCCACTACGATCCCTTGGTGTCCATGATTTAGTCCTTCATAAGTTCATGAATGCGTACTGCTGAAGTCTCATGCCAAAGTGAAGCATCTGTCTGGGGCTTTCTGATTTTTAATGATCGCATAACTACAATCAGCCTGTTATTCGAAACCATTATCTTCAAAATCCCCTATACTAACAAAAAATAAGTTATAAATGTAAGGTATCTTTACAGATGCAAACTCATTGAACTACTGTTTTGAGATAGCATGCAATATTTAGCGTAATTTTGAACAGAATTTGATATGTATTTATGACAGAAAGAGTAGAATCTTAGTCCTAAGTAATGTCAAGAAATTAATGAATACAAAGGTAGATTACAGAACCAATTATTTAATACAGTAATCAAAAAAGTAACTTAGTTCCACACAAAAAAATTGACCGAATATTTTGTTAAACGTCGGGGAATGGAATCAGATATGAAAGGGATGAATAACAACTGGAAAGAGCTGGAAAGGATTGCCCAGGACAGGGTTGGATGGAGAATGCTGGTGAGCGGCCTATGCTCCTTCACGAGGAGTAGCAGACGTAAGTAAGTAAGTAATTTTGTTAAAAATATACAGAATAATAAGATTACAACAAAAAATTCACTCACCTGTGTATCCAACTTTACAAATACAAATTTGTTCCTCCAATGGTCCCATATGACATTCTTTAGCATGATTTAATCCACCGCCTGGACATGAACATGGTTTACAAGGAGTTTTTCTCAAAGGATCACCATAAAATCCTTCACGGCATGTTTCACAATGATCACCGCCAGTATTATCTCTACAGTTTTCACATATTCCAGTTGTCTATACAATGTAAATATTGAAAAATACTTAAAATTCGAATGTTTGACTTTAAAATTCTTATACTCGAATAAAGAAGACTATTTTTGAGGATAATTGTAATGTTGCATATGTGGTACTATTAAAATCTTAAAAATCAAGAAAGTTCTGAACAACGTTCTCTTAAATTACATTTTATAGTCAGGGCTTACAGTAATTGAATATAGTTTAGTCAAAACCAATAGATTTTACAGGTATATGTACGTATTTTTTGCACACAAATTACTGAATTGAGTAAAGACCATTTACTTATGGGTTAAACGTTAAAACATTCTGAGAATAGTTTGCAGATACCAGGATCAAATAAGCATAAAGCGAAGAAAAATTTTCAGCAATGTAGTTGTACGCATGTCGTAGTGTTTTATGGATTAATTAATTTTCATCAGTATGAATGTTTATAGTTTAATTCAGAATTTAAGTTGCAAAATACTGATCATGAAACGTGAAATTCTTATGTTTTATATCATGTGCAGTTAAATGTATACGTTTCTGATATATCTGAAGCGATAAACAGTCATCTTCACAACCATTACTTGTCTTAAATATTTTCCAATTTGGTGTCAGTTTGGACATTGCTAATGGTACATTTTATACCACTTTTATATAGACTTCAATAAAAATTTATACAACCACATGGATTTAGCTTGTTCACATTCAATAAGTATTGTGAAAAGGTGCTTTTATAAAGTCATCACGTTAAAATCTAACCGATCCTTTTACTCTGAATAGTCATAGAGAAACCCTATAATAAATAATTTAAAGTGAAGTAAATAATGGTTTTTATATTGTTGTTAATAGCAGGTTGATTATCAAGAATAAGGGATTACCATGTAACATTCTTATATTAGTTTTGCATTTCTGTTAAACGGAGTACCATCAACCTTTCTAGATACTGGGTCGGTGATCTTTGGGAGTCATAATAAAAACATTAGTTTTAAAATGCTAGTTTATGATTTATTAAGGTGTAAGAGTTTGATGTATTACTTGAGTAACTCGACAGTTTATTATTTCCTAGTTCAGCTTCTCAAAATTCATCTTTTCGATTCTGAATTGAATATACTTTCACATCTTTTATATTTTCTACCAAGGATTTTTAGTCTAAAATGAAAGACATTTTTAATGATTTACAGGAGATACTCCTGGAGTTCTAGTGAGAAGTCGTTACTCGTGGAGTTCAACCAGGTTTGTAGTGAGATATAAGAACTCACTGAAGACAGTGGTGTACGGTGGCGCAAATTCGTGGATTGGTTGAAGTTAGACATTACCACCGTCGGATGCCGGCTCAGTGGTCTAGTTAGTTAAGCGCCTGGTACGAGACTGACAGGTCTTGGGTTCGAATCTTGCGGGGGGGGCGGGATCATGGATGCGCACTGCTGAGAAGTCCCATACTAGGACGAAACGGCCGTTCAGTGCTTCCAGGTTTTTCATGGTGGTCTAGCTTCAATTGACTCATGATTTCAACCAGTAAAATTTCTAAGAATCTCCACAAAACCCAGTTTGATGATTTACAGTAGTGGTTAAGCTAATGTTATTCCGAAATAAATCTAAAATTTATACACCAGATGACATGTATACTCACTGTGAAAATTAAATGAAACTTATTAGTGAACCATAATAACACAAATAAAACTAGAAATTAATTTTTATTCATTCAATTCTATTACCTGATTACAAAAATCACTAAATTCATTGCATATACATGGACGACAATTTGGAAAATCCCAAAAACCAGGATTACACATATTACAATGTTTACCAACAATTCCTGGTCGACATTCACAAAGACTAGTATCTTCATGACATTGTAAACTGACAGATCCTTGAGGATCACATGCACAATCTACAAAATAATAGAAATATTAACGAATAAAAATAAATATTTATATAAACATATCTGTAAATATTAATTGTGTCATTTAGCATTAGACAATTAATTTTGACAATGGAATTCATGAATCGATCTAAGCTAGATCATCATTGAAAACCTGAAAGTACTGAACGGCCATTTTGTCCAGAGTAAAACATTTTATTGGAATTTATTACTAGAACTTTTACCTAATAGAAAATTTGTTTTGATTTAATATTTTTCAAATGGGGATATTGTAACGCTCAATTTCCATTATTAATCATTCATTCACTGAATATATATTTGTTTCACTAAAATTTATTTCCATTTTAGCTCTTAGTTGTATGTACTAGAATGATGGCTCTTACTAGTTAAATCATTGTCTTTGAAATTCTAATTTGTTGATAACGACTAATTTGTGTATAATTTCAAATTTTACGTCTAAATTAAACTTTTAACCAAAAAGAGACAGATTTGATAAGATGTTATATCAATAATCCCATGAGAGTTTTCTCGTCAACATATGTAAGTGATAAATCTTCTGACTGAATGCTTGAATCAGTTTCCTAAGCTCTTCTAATAACTCCCAGACTGAATCTACACGATAACGTGAACACGAGAGAAAAGGAGTGAAATATGGAAAGAACGCTTTACTCTAAAGTTAGTTTATGTGCAGTAAATTGAGGCTATTTGTGCCATTTTAGATGGCCTTGGGCTTCTGGAAGGTTCTAGAACCTTACTAGTAGGATAGGTAATTATCTAGTCAAAAATGTAACATGTGACTCTTCACTTTCCGGATGTTTATGAGGAACTTCTATTCAATGCTGATGGGATAAAATGTTTCCCAGCGTTTTGGGAGCCTTTTTGGGCTATTTTCAAGGAATTTTCTGGTTTTTCCTACTAATTGAGGATTTGGAACATCTATGTATTCATCTGATAAATTGATACCATGCACTATATTTAAAGACATTACTTCAATGTACACAAGAGTAATTAATAACAATCATAATGATAAATAACGCACCGGTACATCCTCTTGCACTGAAACCATAATGATATGATGCACATCGATCACATTGTCTACCAACAACCCCATCTTTACATGGACATTGTCCCGTTAGTTTATCACATATCTCAGAACGTGAACCAGTTGAATTACATAAACATCCTGGTAGATGATAAAAAAATTAAACTCTAAGAATTAGTGAAAATAGTGAAATTTATTACTTTCCACTTATATAAAGGAGATATAACATTGTGTTTAAGTGAAACTGATTCATGGTCTTCTCTTAAAATTATTTTAACCACTAGTTTTCGAAAACTATCTTTTCCCCTCTCTTCTACTCTATTAAATACTTAATCTCAGTTGACTTTCCTACTTATATCTTTTTTCTAGTAGCATTTCATTTCACTGAACAGATTATGTGTTCATAATTTTCATGATTTTATGCTGCATTACTTAGTAAGACTATCATCTGTTGGTCCTCCAAGACTGGCTAGTTGGAGTCCTATAGATAATGTAGAACAGTGGTAGTTCTAATTTAACTTTCTTTTAATTTCTCCATATAAATGAGAGGAACTTCTTCAACTGGAAGAATCCCTTCTGGTTGCATTTTTCGTAAATGAACTGCTTCTCCTATAGTATTCCGCTCTCACACACTGCTTTCTATTTATCTTTGTTCTTTTTTATTGTATTGACCTTCCTTTATCTCGTTACACTCTAATTTATATTGGGTTGCACATGCTTTCTGTAGGTTATTAATGCTTGCACATTTTATGATTAACTGATACTGGACAATTTTGTTGTTCTAGTAATGAATGTAGATGAAATAAGTGCTACGAATAAAACTTAATAACAAGTATTGACAAGCAGCGAACCTAGATCAAGTACGATTTTGTACCTAATGATGTCGAACTTCTAATATATTAAAACTCAAGTGAAAAACTAAACAAAGGAAATAAATAAGTAAACTAACTTTGTGCCACAGAACTACTCTCTTTCCAACTTAAACGTGGTAAACGGAAGTAGACTTCACATTCCGGTGGTAATCCCGTTCGATCTTCACGGCGACCAGCTAGTATCTCCATAGCAACTTCACGATAGACTTCACAACGACGTGCTAAGTCACTGTCATCAGTAGGTATCAGTATAATCTTTAGTTTGGAAATAGAGTAAATGAATAGTTAACAGTATTGCTCTTTTCACTCAAAATTCTAAATTTATTTACAAATTGGTTGAAATTAACATTGTATCGCTGATAGAGGAATCAGTGATGCCAGTGATTAAGTGGTCGCTGCTAAACCTCAAGGTCCTGGGTTTACTTTCTGGTGAGGCCACGACTACACACTACTAAGGAGTCCCGTATCAAGACGAAACAATTGTTTAATGTCACTGTCTTGACGTTTGTATTAAAAATTTTAATTTAATGTTGGTTAACAGCTGTTTTGTGTCCCTTATGTTCTTCAATTATAGGAATCTTGCCCTTGCTTAGCCAATCCGTGCCTTCATATCCGCATCAGATCCTCCCTGTTTATGGTTGATACTCTCCAGATATGTGAAAGTCCTGATCGCCTTCAGAGCTTCTCCACAGAGTACGGTTACGCTTGTGTTCTTCGTGTTGTATTTAAGGATCTTGATTTTTCCTTTGTGTGTGTTAAGACTTACCGATTCAGAGGCTGCTGCTACACTAATTGTCTTCATCTGTTTATGTTCACGTGTATGGGATAGAATAGGTAAATCATCTGTGAAGTTCAAATCTTCTAGGTGATTCCGAGTTTTCCACTGCATTCCGTGCTTTCTATCAGATGTCAAGGTCCTCATAATTCAGTAGACTACCAGAAGAAAGAGAAGTGAACGCTATAGGAATGTCTGTAGGTGCGGCTTCTATGTACGGCGGACTCAGTGGGACTAGTCAACAATGTATTCTACTCATATGTTCCTCTGTCATTGAATCTCTGTGATTGGCCTTTCTTCTTTGTCCCTGACTGGCCTCTCTGGTTTGCTATATTTCCCTGCAAGTCCCTTCTTCATATCATATAGTTGTTTCATATTTCCTTCTCTTGAAACTTTTCCCTCTGTCGTTGCTAAGTTTTACATGTATTTCTGCTTGTCAGCCCTGATGCTCTCCTTCACTTTCTTGTTTGCTTCTGTGTATTCAGTTTGTGCCTTGACTTCCTCTGCTCTTGTTCGACTGTTATTAATTGCTGTCTTCTTATTCTTGCTTTATTAAATCTTGTCCAGGATTTCAACGGAGATCCATTCCTTGTAATGATGCCTCTTGTGGCTCAGAACCTCTTGACACTTTGAAGCCAGTGTGCCTTTGATCCTTTTCCAGTTTCTTCCTCTCTGAATAGATCTTCTAAGGCTTGGAGCCTATTGTTGAGAGCTATCTTGAATTGATTGAATTTGTCAGTATGTCAAAGGTAGGCTGCATTAAACCTTTGTAGTTCTGTTTTCCGGATATCTAGTGCTTTTTTAACTTCATCTTCATCTTGACAACCACCAGGTGGTGATCTGAAGCTAAATCATTTCGCCTTTTGGTTCCCACGTCTCCCATTGACCTTCTAATTTTTTGTGATGCAAACATGATCGATTTGGTTCTGTGTAATGTGATTTGGTGAAACCTATGCAGCTTTCACTTGGTATTGTTTGGCTTGTATCTTCCCATTGAGGTTTTTAAGACTGCAATTGATCAGTCTGTTATTGGCATATGTGCATACTGTGCGTATGCCTCGACATGGGAAGATACAAGCCAAACAATACCAAGTGAATTTAAATTCCCCACCATTGCACAAGCAGGTGGCTATCAGGACTCGGGATCTGAGTGGATAACGCGATGGCGTTTGAAACGAATGGTAATGGGTTCGAGTCCCAGAGTGAACATCAACTCAGATGCAGGTACATCCAGCTGACGAGTCCCGGATGTGACGAAACGCGCGTCCTGGATTCCACCATCCAGCATTGCTTACAAAAGGCTATGCAGCTTTGTTTATGTTTGTGGGGGAATATAGTGCCGCCATTCAGTATTACTGCTGAATATTTAAAGAGTTCTTTATTGGTTTATGATGACGTGTTTGATAGTGTTTACTCATCGAGTCTGCTAATTTGTAGTTTTTGACCCAACACATTATGGACTAACCACGAAGTGTATATTTAACAGGAGACAACAAATCAGCATACATAAAGCTGAAGTTACCATAATAAAAGATATGCTTACATCAGTAATTAGGATTTCGGTAAATGCTCCTTCTGGATACGATTCAGGAACAACACGTAAAACAATTGGTAATCCAGGTTCCAAACAGACATCTGATATAATAACTTTGTGAGTGTCTGAAAGAGTAATAATACAAAAATGTCATAAAACATAGGAACATAAAAATTTAAAAGTAATTTTCAATTATTTTTAGATGAAAAATTGTTGAAAACTGTGGAGCACTTGACGATTATTCTCGTAGGAATATATTCATTATCTGGAAAGATAAATATAATAATGAGGTAAAAACTAACTAATGACAAAAGCGTTAGAATCACAATTTATGGGAGAAAATAACTGAAGTTTGCATTGTGCACAAGTGGATCCCAACATTTCGATTTGGTAGTTTCGTGATATCTCCTAGACCAAACGGTTCTTGGGTTAGACACAATGAGAAGAGGTGGAAACATATTTCAACTATATAATGCTTCCTAAGTTTCAGTAAATCTCTGGATGATATGCTTTTAGGTGTGGAAATAATTACTAAAAGTATGTAAAGTCATCACAGAACTACCTGAATAAACAGTAAAATCTTTGTTCCAGACAAACATACAGAAGGATTGTTCTGTACCGAACTCAGTACATTATAATTAAATGCTGATTTCATTAATACCAATCTAAATACTGAGGTAAGAGCAACATACAAAAATCCAAACAGAAGTTGGTTTCGTTCGTTCTTCTATACTTCACTGTTCATTATCTCTGTATCGATGAAAGTGTCGAAAGTAGATTTATACTACTTACAAGTAGTTAAAACTCCTGCTAAATTACTCTAAATTGGTGTTCGAATAAACAATATATATATTCAATAAAAGTGTATAAACCCCCTAATGATAGTTTTCAGTTTAATCATTTTTCAGTTCACATCGTTTATAGATTGATGGAGTGAAATGGTAAAGGTCATTTGTATCGTTTATATTTTACTCCGTCAACAAAATAGTGAATATTTAGCATTAAATAATTTTTTAGAAGGTGATATCAGTAGGATTTTCTAATAAAATTCAACTGAATGCATTGAGCTTTAAGCAACACATGTTTTTCGGAAGTTATGACTGTTAGTATAGTGGCCTTAAACGAAGTAGATGAAAAGCGATACAATATTAGAATTTATTGGTTGCACATCAATAATTACCACTTATTTAAATCAGGAATTTGTTACAGAACAAATGCACAAATAAAGTTCACTTTATCAGTTTACATTCTCTTATATAGTCAAAGTTGAGTCGTTTTAATTAACTGATAACAAATTGTGGAGAGCGGAACCAATAACCAAAAGGTATAGTACTTTGGTTCGTTTTCATTGTGAAAACTTTATTTCAGGATTTAACAAATTTATTGAGCTTTAAATAGTCAGCGAAGTAGATGTGGATATTGGCTAGCAATCGAATCAAGTACACACGTTTCGTCTCGATTAGGATGTATTCTAGACGTTTCAACATCTCATAGTTGAAGTACACTTCGAGATTTGAACCTAATACCACTTGCTTTAAACGACATAGCGCTATCCACTTAGCTACTGAGTTTAGTTAAACTGAATATCAGGACTAGGTGGAGGTACATCCAGCCGACGTGTCCCAAATAGGATGAGACACACGTCCTATATTCTACTGCTAGCCAAAGTTCATCTCTGCTTAAAAATGATAATGACCTAATATCAATATCGAGGCAATCCGGACAGGATGCACGTTAAAAACTGATCAGTAGCAGTCCTAAATGTCAAAGGGAGGATCCAAGCAACCAATTTATAGGATTTATAAAGCTGAGAAAACTTGTATCAATGAGTACTTTTTGCCCTCAAATTATTACCTAACTACATAAATTGAATATTGCTTAAAGGAGTGTACCAGTCATTGAGTCCACAACAAAACTAAAATCAAATATGAAAAACATAATATCTCCATGACTTTATTCGCAACATTCGATGAGCCACGTAAATTCCTACATCCACAAAACTCCTGTCGGAACTCTATGATGACCAGATGAATGGTCAAAAAACGGGATCACAATGGATCACAAAAAATACATTTTACATGATAAATAACTGCGTCATTTTTTGATAAAAAGGCTAAATGACACAATCATAGTTTACCAAATTTACTTTATAGACAGAAAACAAATTAGGAATAGTTGTTAATAAACTGAATAATAATAAGTAGTAAATAAAAATACTATAGAACGAATGTTTAAGAAATACTCATCATAAACTTATGCAAACTAATTCATCAGAGACTACCTTGTTAAGTATCATATTTTCTTTTTCACATCATATTTCAGTCACATGCCGTTCTTATTGACACTTCGGAATTTTCTACTGTTGATATTCAAGACTTCACTTGATCAGTCTATGTTGCCATATATATACATCCTAAGCTAATTGCCTCGATATATGGTTGTCACAGGTTTTAGCATACATAGTATATAACAAGCAGTGAAATCCAGGATGTTTCATATTATGTACGACTTGTCAGCTAGATCTACATATATTTTAGTGTTGATGTTCGTGTCTCAGTGCGAACATCAACAGTGAAATGTACATACATCCAGTTGGTGAGTCCCAAGCAGGAGAAAATATGATCGCTGAATACCCCTCCTAGCCACATACCAAATATGCATACTATTAAAAAAATAGTTATTTATTCAAGATCACTTTTTGATCAATTCAACAATTAAGCATCGACAAGTTTCACTGAGTTATCCTGATGTTTGCAACTTAAATTATAAGTATCATATATATATATATATATATATATATATATATATATATATATATATATATATATATATATATATATATATATATATATATATATATATATATATATATATATATATATATATTATATTATATTATTTTCATGTTGACCATACCTTGATAAATATTAACACTTTGAGGTGGATTCTGACATTTTGTTGCCCCATACTGAAAAGGTGTTACAATGATTGACCATCTATCACCGGAACCAAACTAGACATTGAAAAAAAACAGTACAAAATTAAATAAAAGAAATTCAATCAGATGAATGACATCTCTTATCAAAGATCTAATTTCAGTTGAACGATTCTTTGAAAAAAAAGTTATTGCTTTTATTTATAGTACTCATTTCTCAATTTATATGTTAACAGAAATTTTCGCATAATTGAAATAAATATGATATAATTATAGCTTCATTATAATAAGTACTGATTCGATTAGTTCATCTTATTATATTCACTAAATCTATTGTTATTATTCGTATAACGTAATCTAGTATCATAATCTTTCTATTATGTCATCTTGGTTATTCGTGTTCACATTTCCTCACGGAATTAGTACTTTAACAAAATTTTCATATGTATAGATATAGGATTGCACAGCTGGATAATAAATTCGTTGAAAAGAGATCCCTTCGCTGAACTTCGTGTTTTCAATCTTTAATGTTTAAATGGAAATTATCTGTCATATGTAATAGACAGGTTTGACTTTAATCTAACTAAATAAAATAATTGTTTATTAACAACTTTATTATAATATTAAATCTTTCAAATAAACTATATGTCTGAGATTTAGATGGTGGTTGGAGGTAGTCGACAGGAAACCGTGGACCCGCGTTTTGTGCTACTTGGCACTCGTCAGCAAGGTGTACCTGTAATCTTGGGGAAACTGGTGCTCCCTGGCGGATTCAATCTCTTGTCACCCAGCTTAACAGTCAGAGACGCTACCACTGAGCTATCCGAGCCGCGATCGACCTCCTGTAGGACTGATATGTAATCACAGTTGATTGATCACTGGGTGGTGATCAATGTCATGCTTTTCCAGTCCTTATTAGTGCAGACCGAATGCTGTCGATCATGTTGCAATGTGGCCACCAGTCTAGGTGATTCGACACTGGGCACTATATATTGAGATTTAGATGGTGGTTGGAGGTAGTCGATAGGAGGTCGGTCGCGGCTCGAATAGCTCAGTGGTAACGTCTCTGACTGTTAAGCCGGGTGACACGAGATTGAATCCGCCATGGAGCACCAGTTCCTTTTGATGGAGTTTTGTTCTCTGAGCTGAGAGCTCAGAGAACAAAACTCCATCAAAATCATCCACCTGAGCTACAAATCTTCTCCACCAGCACCAGTTCCCTCAAGATTACAGGCACACCTTACTGACGAGTGCCAAGTAGCACAAAACGCGGGTCCACGGTATCCTGTCGACTACCTCCAACCACCGCCACATTGCTACATCATCGATAGCATTCGATCTGCACTAATAAGGACTAGACACGCATGGGATTGATCATCACCCAGTGATCAATCAATTGTAAACTATATGTCTTCCATACAAGAATTTATGAACATTGTTTTGGTGAATTTAAGTTGTCGAATATAATTATCGTATTTTTTCAAAGCATAATTTTAAGACTAAGAAACAATCTACTCACCAACAACATATTCTAAATTCTACTCAAGTTTCTGTACTTCAAAACATCTGGTTGGATTCATTGAATCACTATGAATTGCGTATTTAATCTGACAATCATTACATTATATTTTGGAATAACAAATTGTTTACCCAATTTGATCCTAATGATAATATAGCTGATTAAATTCATTTATAACTTTGAATAAACTCTCTTTACAAATCTTTAACTATTTTTATCAGTCCCTAGCTAGTATGTAATGTAGTATCGTCCAGTTATATAGACTGATCAAAGCTTATCGACCAAGTTTACAATAAACCTAGGTGGCTTAATATCATGGTCTACTTATTTTGTTGACTAGATTTTCGAAGACGGTTGGTAGCGATTCTTGGATATTATGTTTCGTTTTCACTAGAATTGTCAGTTTGAGACTCCAAATATTCAGTGGTAATGAGAATAGTTGTTTAGAATAGATGGAATATTGTGAGGAGTGGAATCGGGGACGCGTATTCTGTCCTAATTAGAACTCATCAGCTACTATATATTAACTTTTGTCATAATTGCTATTTCGAGACAATCCGCAAAGAATGTCCATGCGCCAACTAACCCTGATCAAATTTCAGTCAAATTATTAACAACGTGATAATCTAAGCCATTTCAAACTAAATGAAAATAGTAATAGGTTGAATACACCATGTTAGCTACTATACGCTAATAAAGTGAAGTTTGACAATTATATAGATTATTTCGAATTGTCTGTTGTTTCCTAATTGGAATGTAGCTGATATTGTTATTTATTAGTCGGAAATCTATCGATTTGCGTTAGTTCTACTCACTAAATGGAATCATTTCCTATTCATCTGTATTGGGAATGATAATAAACATTTAGGACAGAAGGGGACAAACCTCTGTTTGTAAGTCAAATACAATCCAAAATATCAGTTAGAAATATACGTGAAATTAGCCAAAAGTGTAATAATTAAAAATTATTTCAGATAAACATTGCTATTTGTTAAGAACTTAGTTAGTATTTGATTCAGTATGTTCTGTAATTGTTTAAGTTGATTCTGACTGGTTCAATTATATTTTGTTTATTCAGACAAATGTATTCTCAATGTCTTTGATTCTATTCTTGAACTAATATAGGTACATTAAGTATATGTAGTGATTCATCTTGTAAATTGAATTTTGCATTACATGCATCAGGTTCTTTCATACAGTATTTAATTTTTTATCTTGCGTTAAAGAAAAGACACAAAGGGGGCACTAGGCGGCACTTCCTTTTAGTTTTGAATTTCCTCAGTAACACTCTCTAAGATGTCAGATAGAAGCTACAAACTACACAAAATCTCAACGAAACTACTTACATCAGTAATAATTTTTAAATTACCTGTTTAGGATCCACATCAAGAACAATTACATACTTCCCTTCACCTTTAGGTCCAACCAGTGTAATCTCTTTTTCGTCAGGTTTATCAATTACTTCATGTGGTGGAACAATATAATAGCCATTTTCAACTTCACTGCAATCACGTCCAGTAAAGCCAACTTTACAAGCACACTGTCCACTAACACGTTCACAATTTGGATTCAATGATCCTATTTGACTGCAGGCACATTCTTGACAACCTAATGGTGTTGTGGACAGGTTAAAATAACCTTCCTGTAAAATAAATAATATTTATTATTATTTTATTCTACTGAACATTTTCTTAAACATTTATAAAATATAATGCCATTTTTTCAGTAAAAATCTAACAAATTATCAGTGTACAATGCATCAACTATTGCGACAATTCAACATAAATGAATTCATCAATGTGGTTAATAATTGCGTAGATTGAAACTGTTTATGATTTCTCACTGTAAATTAATAATTTGTGCTTTAGGTATTCGAATAAATATAGTTGAGTTATTTCAAACTTCTCAATTCTTGTTTAGTTCAATAAAAGCTCCATTACTTGAACAGTTATAGATATTAAGCCCTTTGAACAATGATATGCCATCATACTTTGTTAAGCCCTAGGTTAACCCTCAGGTGTTTAAAATCAGTCCTAATGAGAACATTTCAAACAACAGGTTTGTGTAATATAAAAGTGCCATATAAAATGAAACATGAACTGGATTTCATTGCTATTCAATGTCAAATGTAATCAAGCTCTGACCATTGGAGATATTGATGGAAGTTTGTATACCAGCATTGGTCATTCAACTCACTCCTCGAAACCGACCACAAGAATTTATAAACTTTACTGAGAGTTTTTCATTTCTTTCCATTTACTATAATGCAAATTTGTTTGGACGATGAAGATGATATGTAACTCAAAATAATCATCTCTGTAGTGTAATGTTCTCTGAGTTGGACAATGTAAGCATTTAAAGGGAGACAAATTGTTTATAAACTATTTTTAGGTGAGTAATGATATTTATTAACCCCAAATTATCTTAACTCAAACAATTCTGTCATCACAAAATCTATAAGGAACTTGCTTCATAAAATAATGAATATTATAATGAGATTCTAATCACTCACCAAACATCGATCACAATTTGGGCCACCAACAAATCGTTTACAAGTACAAAGTCCAGTAAATGGATCACAACCACCATTGTCGATTGTACCAATCATATTGCATGAACAAGCTGCATTAATACATATATATACGTACCAATAAGTACACGGTTTTGATAAAATGAAAGTAGAGTAGAAAGAAAGGATATATAATTCCCTAGAATGTTTCTATTTATTGTGTTGCTTTAGGTAAGTACATTAAAAATGTAAACTCTACTATTAATTAGAAGGGTCTACACAAAAGTTTGAGCTGTTTATTTTCTAGCTGTGTAAATATTACGGCAAACCTTCGTGTGTTAGATTTTTTTTTTAACTGAGTGACTAGGAATGTTAACTGAATGCATCCACTTTGTAATATAAGATGAATACATCTAACTACCACGCTAAGTACTGGAAAACTTAAACCGAAACATTACACTTGTTTGATTTTTTTGTATAATAAACAGTCAATTCCCTGTATAATCGCTGTATTACAGTATATTTTTATGTGATATGAACTTAGTTAATTAGCTGTATTGTATTTTCTGTTTATTTCTTCCTTACTAAAGTACAAATTTGATATATCCATGTCTTTTTTATTTTTACTATAAAAAGAGTGTTTAAACTTATTCACACGATTTATGTATTACTTGTTCGATAGAAAACTAATCACATAACATATATAACAAACAGATAGTCGGTCGGTCAGTCAGTCAGTCAGTAACAACGTAGAACTTCGTACGTACATACATCAGTTCGAGTTGCCATACCACATTAGCACAAAGATGCAGTTGTCGATTCAAATCCCGTAGTGGCAGAGGTAGTAAGAGTATAAGCAGATAAGCCCCAATCTTATGGAATTTGTTAAAGACACTGCTATCAGGCGTCCAAAAACTTTAATTTATTTGTTCAAAAAGTAATGGTTGTTAAACTTTCTATGCCTCAACGACACAAACAGTTTTACATTATATCATAAAATTTTGTCCAACTCTTTCTTTTAATCTATTACATCATTACGTCTTTTTATTTTGGATGTCTCCTAGATTAGTAACCTTATTTTAACTGAGCTTCACTTAATTCATTCTTACTTATTATCCGAGTTTGTTCACTACATAACGCTTGCTTCTAGCTTGTTAGTCTTACTATCATTATTTTGAAATGCTCTTTCATATAAAATGTACGTTTGCAGTGTTTTATTTAGTCTATTAAATTTGTTTACATTCTTGATACACTATACTTGTGTGTAATCATAGCAGTCTCCAACAAGCTCCTTCATCTAAGTAATTTAAACCCGTTTTCAGATGAAGATTTTTAAATATTACAGATTATAATCAGCTGACCAAACGAAATAAAATAACTTCATGTTATTCTGCTCAAACCTCTGTTTTTTTTCTCTTCCCATTACATACAGCAAAACATTGAGGCTTAAATCAACATGAATAGTTCAGAGTATACAAATGATACATAATGCAACTTATTTGGTATCTACGAACAACATAATATTGAACCTATGATATTGAGATCAGCTTAGTTCTTAACAAGTATTAAACCTGCCAAGTGCATATTATCTTACAGTAATTTTACTTACCTTCACAACCATCAGGATTTTCAGCTTGGAAATTCCAAAATCCAACTTTGCACCGGTCACATTTTTCACCACCAACATTTTTCTTACATATACAACGACCAGCGATTGTATTCTGCTCTGGTATAGTATATTGCTGACAGAAATTATCATATAATGTACCATCCAAATGACAATTACACGCTAAAATAAGCATATAATTAAATAAGGAGAGTAAGTAAATGACTGATGAATGTAATTTTATCATAAGTGGTACTATAAATATTTGGAGTGATATTTGTTAATGAGTTTGAGATAGTGAATCTTTTTACTCATCACCATGAATGATTTTCGATACTCCATATAAGGCAGTTTTCATCTACAAAATGATATTGGTAATGAAACCATTGAAAATCAGAGTTTATCCTATTCTGAATCTTTTGAATATTCTGTTCTTACGATCTTATATTGGTAAAGAATCCAGGAACTTCTGGTTTGACTACATAAATGAACTCACTTAACCACTAAAATCTATTGAAGACTTTTAAAAGTTCTTCAACTGATACCAAACATTGATGAAAAATATTCGAAAAAAAACAAAGCAAAATGATTCAATTAAAACTAATTGAAATGTCACAGATTGAAATCATGAGTCAGTTGAAGCTAGACCACCATTGAAAAGCTGGAAGCACTGGACGGCCGTTTCGTCCTAGTATGCGCACTGCTGAGGAGTCCCATACTAGGACGAGACGGCCGTCCAGTGCTTCCAGCTTTTCAATGGTGGTCTAGCTTCAACTGACTCATGATTTCAATCTGTGAAATTTCTAAAATCTCCACAAACCCATTCTGATAATTGAAATGTATCACAACTTATGATCTATTTAATAAGATTATTTATAATGATCAATTATAGAAATTGAAACAAAGTTTTGACTATTATCTGACATTAGAAGGAAAATCATTGTAAACTAGGTATTATTGAATAGGTGTATTCTTTTAGCATTGAAATTTTATACAATTCATTAATATATCAATATATGAAATGTAACTTATGAGGTGTTTAGTCTGACTATTAATTTCCTTCTATTCAATTATTGAGTTGAAGCCCAACAAACCCACGTTTTCTAACATTACATTGTAGTAAATAAGAACACGAATGGAGACAATCAAATATTGTTGAAGACGAAATTACAAAACATCTCACTACAATCTGAGAACTGTACAGTAAATACTTAATTTGCAAAATTTCAATCAATTGTCTCAAACTTGACTGTTTCTTTTGGAAATATCAGTTCATCGTCTGAGATTTTATTGTTCCTGCATTTTCATACCAATTTCTTTCCGTTCCCGTTTTTTCCTTTTCGATCTTCTATTGAAATACATTTTATTCCTGACTATCATTATATACTACTGATGTGAATACAAGTTGCTCATACCACAATATGACTAAGTGAATAACCATGATTTGATAAATTCCTATGATGGATTAAACTGCAAAATCGTACATGGAGGACAGTTGACAAAGTCCTTCAAAGTGAAGACCGGTGTTAGGCAAGGTTGCTTACTCTCACCCTTTCTCTTTCTCCTGGTGATCGGCTGGATAATGAAGACGTTAACATCTGAAGGGAGGCACGGGATACAGTGGACATCTAGGATGCAGCTGGAAGATCTAGACTTCGCAGATGATCTTACCCTCCTATCACAAGCGCAGCAACGAATGAGGAATAAGACAACCAGTGTAGCAGCAGTCTCAGCAGCAGTAGGTCTCAATATACACAAAGGTAAAAGCAAGATTCTCCGATACAACACAGAATGCACCAATCCAATCACAAATGACGGAGAAGATTTGGAAGATGTAAAAACCTTTACATATTTGGGCAGCATCATTGATGAACATGATGGATCTGATGCAGATGTGAAAGCGCGGATCGGTAAAGCAAGAGCAGTATATTTACAACTGAGGAACATCTGGAACTCAAAACGACTGTCAACCAACACCAAGGTCAGGATTTTCAATACAAATGTCAAGACAGTTCTACTGTATGGGGCGGAAACCTGGAGAACTACGAAATCCACCATCCAGAAGATACAGGTGTTTATTCACAGTTGTCTACGCAAAATACTTCAAATCCGTTGGCCAGACACTATCAACAACAACCTACTGTGGGAGAGAACAAACCAGATCCCAGCAGAGGAAGAAATCAGGAAGAAGCGCTGGAAGTGGATAGGACACACATTGAGGAAAGCACCAAACTGCGTTACAAGACAAGCCCTCACATGGAATCATCAAGTCCAAAGGAAACGAGGAAGACCAAAGAACACATTACGGCGGGAAATGGAAATAGACATGAGAAAAATGAACAAGAATTGGATGAAACTATAAAAGAAGGCCTAGGACAGAGTGGGTTGGAGAATACTGGTCGGCGGCTTATGATCAATTAGGAGTAACAGGCGTAAGCAAGTAAGTAAGTAATTTGATGAACAGAGTGTAATCATTATGTCTTTTTATATAATCTTTATGTAATTCAGATTTTATTTTTTCTACTTAATGTGAATTTAATTCGTGAAAACCAACATGAACAATAAAATACATTGATTAGAGAACATTAGAATAGAATGTGAATTTTATTACATTGTGTTTTGTAAACTATTATGTAATGATTGATTTCACAATAAAAAAAATTCATCATTCACACTGATCTAAAATGAATTAAACCCTTGGTTATTAGTCATTGTTTAAATAAATAGTTAGTTTTTAAAATGTAGAAGTTCGAATTTGAATGTTAGTGAATGTAGTGAACGAGAACTAACAAGTGAGATACAACCAAATGTTGTTGAATACGAAATTATAGAACGTCTTAGAAAAATCTAAGAACTAGATAATAATTCATTTGCAAATTGTCAATCAATCGTCTCAGACTTGATTGTCCTTTTGTTTCCATACCAATCATTCTCTGTTCTCATTTTCCTTTATTCGGTCTTCATAACCTTCTGCAACCAGGCATTTCACATTCGACTGATGATACATATTACTTATATCTGTCGATATCAGTAGCACACACCACCATAATGATTCCATTCGATATAGTTTTCATTTGAATATAATAAATATTATTATTGTTGTTTCTTCTTATTGTAAAAAATGATAGAAATCGTACTATTTTAATAAAATGAATAAAATCTGGATAATTAATTGACAGAAAACCCTTGAAGAAATAGTCGGTATTAATACCAAGGTTTGAGTTGATAATTTCTAATAAATTCAACCTTGAGTAGAAAATTAATCATAGAAATAATGATATAGTAGTAATATTTCAATGAGTAGACTTAGTGTAAGCGACTTTCATTCAGCGTGACACTACAAATATATCATTTTTGACCGTCTAGTGAATAAACTGGAGACAGTCAGTAGAAAACTCAACTCTGATGAGCTTTCATACTATTATCATTCGTCAATAATGTGTACCTGCAATCTTAAGGTATTTGATTCATTTTGTTAGATTGAAACCAACTCCACCCAACTTCACAGTCTGGAAAGTTATCATTGAGTCATTCTCTTTAAAACAGACCTCCTGTATGACTAATATATTTACAATGACTAATTATTGAATCATAGCCAAATAACATATTTGTTCAACCCTTTGAAGTGATCAAATTCTATGGATCAAGTTTCCAAAATTAACAAGCAGTCTAACACGTCTAATTGTTTACTTTATAATCAGTAACTCAAAGTTATCTACTTAGGAATAGGTAAAACTGTAGCCTCATTTTTGGGAAAATGTCAGGAACAAATAATCAAATATGGTAATATTCAGTAAGTTATAACACTAAACAAAGAATAAATGATATCTTTTCAAAGTAACTAAAAATTACTAGAAACAAGCAGCATTATGAATAATAGTAACTTACGTTGGCAAGTCAAAGGATGATCTATTGGATAACTTGGATGACGATAGAAATTCGGTTGACAAAATTCACAATTTACACCTTCTGTATTATGCATACATCCATGACAGTTGCCACCAGATACATTACCAGATTTACTAAATAATACAGGATTAAAGAAACATGCCGTTGCATGATTGTTACAATTGCATTCTGAAAAAAAGGAACCAAATACACAAATAAATATTTTATTTGAAAACGGTAGATTGATAGCTGAAAAAAGACTAAGATTCTGATTCATATTAAGAAAGTAAATGTGAGTTTTAATTGTATCCTATGGAATACATACAGGAAAGATAAGTATGACATTGATGGAAAATACACTTTTTCTAGGAATTCTAACCGACGCACAAATTATGTTAACCGCTTTCAGACAACTAAATGAAAAATAAACATTGTTTCATGAAGGTTCGAACCCAGAAAGAGTGTAATAATTGTTGAATTCTCAAACTACAATATGAAGATGAGGGAATTATAGAGACTATCAAAATTTATTGGTTTACTTATATTAATAATAATAATAACGTGCTCACTAGTAACTAGTTTCGAGATGTGAATCCCGGATTTCTTGTTAGAAGCACTGACCAATTGGACTCAGCGGAAGTGATGAACCAAACAATGATATTGAGAGATAGTTGTTCAATATAGCAAATTCTTTAAAGTTAAAAATGTAAACTGTTAGACACCGAACCAGTGGTTTGAGGGTTAAGAGCTCACCAGGAGATGTGAGAGTTTTGGGTTTGATTCTCAGTAGGGTCATGCATGCTCATTACTGAAAAGTTTCATTCCATGAGTAAACAGTCGCTTAGAGCCTACCAGTTTTCAGTAATTGCCCAGCTGAGTTTAGTCCGTAATGTAAACTATAAGTTACTGTCAATCATTTATCGTCATGACAACAATATGGGATTGACCACTGAGGATTGACTGCCAGACAATAACTATTAAATATGTAGTTTCTTTTCCTGTTGCTAATTTTTACTCTGTGCTGTTAGAGTGTAAGCCGCTTTTAGATGGGTTGAATAAAAGATTGTCTAGTGTCCAATCTGGTTCCTCACTATTGTTTGTGAATAGTATACCTATATAACATGACCTGGTCTATGTACGGCGTATCAATCAAGTTTTCAGTCTGATGGTAATATAATCTCGGTCACCGCTGAAATTATCATATCATAATAGCATACCGTGGAAATGAGAAAATGTTTTTATTCTCGTGTTATATCAACAACTAGAATGTCTTACTTTTACGAAGAAACATCAACTTGATTATCTTTAAATCTAAAGGTTGATTTTTGGTCGACTGACTTTCGTATTATTAATCGTTAAGTTTCATATATCATCGATTAAAGGTAATCGAATCACTTATTTAGTGATGAGTATGGTAATTTTCAAATATGTTTCTTAATTGTTCAACAGTCTACCGTAAATATTTTCAATCGAAAAAAACACAACCTAAACTTACTTTCACATGCATTAGCAGCGTCTCTTGTTGCTGGCATCCATGGTTTATTCCAATGAAAATCAGCACAGGTTTCACAATTTTCACCAGCGGTATTATGTGTACATTCGCATACACCATATACCTTTATTCGTGAGAAAGAAAAGAAAACAAATAGAAAGTAAGTGTATTTTTTTAATTTAATATTTTGTTCACCTTAAAATACTATAATAATGTTACTGTTATGTTGTGCAGTTAGCCTAATCTACTACTGATAATATACACTTCTATTATAAGTACCTAAATCAGCTAATTGAGTAAGAAAACTAAGAATGAGTAATAAGCTTTTATGGACTCATCGAATCAAGATGACTTAAAAGAAAGATATATGATCATGTTAAGATCGTAGAATAATTATTGGTTATTTCATATGGTCACAAATATTTATTTTTAAGAAATAAACAGATGTGTGAACTCAGTCGAAGTATTAGCTAAATATAAGTGAAAATACATTAAACACGTTTCCAAACATTTTTATATTCAAAACTGATAAGTTTCGCTTCGCATTTAATATCTATTCAATGACATGTACTGTTAAAATCTTCTGTCAAATTTCCATTATTTCCATTAAAAAGGGAGAATATATATTTGTAAAATCTCAGCGAATGAATTTGAAGTAAATTCGACGTTTCACCTGGCAATCTGGTCTAAGCTTTTTCTAGGAAATTTAATCAAACATCAAAATTATCGAATATAAATAGGTACATGGTTCTCCTGTTTGCTGTATACTGAATAGGTCATCCAATCAACGTTAACAATGAATTATTTTCTTTGTACAAGTGAACCGTCACTTTTAAATATTGCCGCCAAATGCCCTGGTATGGCCGAGAGTGGAGAGAGTTCGCTCTCCCTCTTCGAATGCTTTCATATGACCACGCTTATATAGCCTCTGTCAGGTAAGTTCTACTCACTACACGGGCTATATCACAGCCCTCGTACAAATAAAATGAGATTTGTGTAGCTCATATGTATCTGATGCTCCCTTGTACCAATATCGATGTGTTAAAATAAATAATAAATAACACTTTTAACTAATCAATTATACTCTACTGTGTACTCTACATTCTTCTCCTATTCAGTAAATAATAACATGTAACCAAAATAATATTTTATCATCACTGGGATGATAATAATTACTATTCGATGGAAAACATTTAAGGAGAATTTACTTACTTTTTCCGGTTTAATAATTTCAGCAGATGATTTTGGTTTACAACGTAATGCATGACCAAAACATGTACATCTACCCCATACATTCCATTCATAAAGTGCATAATAGTATTTACGTCGTGTTAATGGTGAATCATCAACACGCATATCACCTATTTATAAAACAAAAGATAAATAAATATAATTCATCCCAAAAATTGAATTTTAATGATATACTTAGGTCAGAATGGGTTTTATGGAGAGTTTTAGATATTTCACAGGTTAAAAGCCCGTTGGGTGCGGGATCGTGGGTGCGCACTGCTGAGGAGTCCCATGCTAGGACGAAACGTCCGTCCAGTGCTTCCAGGTTTCCATGGTGGTCTAGCTCCAATTGACTCATGATTTCAACCTCTGAAATATACTTAGGTACTTAATAACTCAAATATGATATTTCTACATTACGTTTAAAAGAATGTATTTTTTGTGTTAACCCCTTCGATGAACTAGTTCAGAAGTATTTACTGTTTCATGTTATTATTACTTATGTAAGTGCTTTTATAGAGGATTCATATACATTGGGAGGAACAGAGTCAGCATGAACTTAAATCCATTTATACGCTGCAAATTTTCATATATTCTTATTTGCTTGATACAATTAATTCATCATTGATTAATATCATTTTTACCTAGTCGCTTAGTGGTGATAGAATTTTATCGATCATGTTGCAAAGTAGCCACTAGCCCAATTAATGACATCATGTGTACTGTGTTTCGATGGTTGGAGATAATCATGAGAAAACCTTGAACCAAGTTTTCGTGCTATGGTTGACAAACAGGACAAATATGAAATTGGTGAATATTGTGATCAATCACTTTTGAATATTTCAATCCTACAGAAGATTAGAAGAGACTCAGATAATCCAATGAAAATGTCTTAGACTGTGAAGCAAGGATAGCATAGGTTCAAATTCCATAAAGAAATTCAGCTGTCGGCAACTTGAAACCACCTAAAATCTTAACATTAAATGTAACAAAAACCATATAAAATGCCTATCACTTTTCATGTATGAATTATTCACTCATAGTATTTATGTATGAGAACAGATTTAACAATCATTTTCGAATAATAATAAACCTGTCAAAATGATTTTTCATTGTTAATGAGCCAAAAAAAGTTTCTAAGTAATTCGTATTATCAATGTGAATTGTTTATAACATATAAAGTACAATGAAATTACTAAGCTTTACAATTTGTATATACAGACTATGTGATCAGAAAATTCAAATAAACGTTCAATTAAATTCAGAATTTCTCATGGTCACTTAGTTTAACAATGATTGAAACATTTCAATGGTGCAAATCTTTTATAATCTATAAATGCTCAGTCATGAAGTGATATTTGTTAAGATATTTCATGAATCACTTTTAAGTAACGTAAAACCTGTCATATATATTCTCCCAGATCAATATTAAAACAGTGATATCAAAGCATCAAGATACGTCCTATTGTAATATAAGTAGTAATAGTATTAATGGAAATAGAAAAAATCAGGCATATATTACTTATACAGACAGAAGTCAGTCAGTCAGCTTCAACGTAGGACCAGGTACATATATGCATCAGTCCAAATTGCCATACCTCATTAGCACAGCAAAATGGACACCAGATTCATAAAAGTAGTTAATTCAGTGGTGGTAATATATAAAATAAAGATTCCATATAAGAACGTAGTACAAGAATAAAGAATTAGTTCGTAGAAAGAAAAAAATATGAAATAATTTTAATCTCATAGTTTAAAGGAAAACAAGGAGTGTATACACCTACGCCATTTTGATCGATTCTCAGCTATGTCACCAAGAGTCTCCAACAATTGTTTACGATAGTCACGCAGATCCCAATCAATTAGTCTGCATCTACCGACATGGCTCACACTAAAAATTAGTGACTTCAAACACTGATGCCACATTTTGGTTTGGTCACCCCTAACTTTCTTCCAACCAGCATTGCACGTCGTGGTAATCAGTGTTCAAGCATACGCAGTATGTGGCCCATTCATCTCGATTGATGAAGATTCACAACCTCATCAACTGATTTGCCATCATTCCCTAATACAATGCGTCGAACCTCATTATTACTTACCCGGTGATCCCAGCAGATTTGAGCAATATTTGTAAGGCATCTGTGATCAAATACTAGTAGCTTACGAATATCCTCTACCTTTCATTAATGACCACGTTTCGCAGTCGTGAAGTAGAACAAAACGAACTACCGCGCAGTATACTCGTCCTTTTATTGATATACGGATATCTCGCCTTCGTCGTAGGTGACGTAAGTTGGCAAAAGCCAAACGAGCTTTTCGAATCCGTGCTGAGATTTCGTTAGACACCAATCCATTAGGGCTGATCAGACTTCCGAGATAAGTAAAGTTGTGGACGCGTTCGAGTACCTCACTCCTTATCGTTAGTTTTGTTGTTGATGCAGACTAGTTGTGCAGCAACAAATTGCATTTAGAGGGAGAGAAGCGCATTCCAAACATTCTGGTATTGTTGCTCAGTGCTACCAGAAGACTCTGCATTTTATTAGCGTCTTCACCAAACAGGACTATGTGATCTGTATATTCTAAGTCAATAAGTGAGCCTCCTGGAAGGAGATCAATGCCCGAAAATTCGAAACTCTAAGATAATACTTGGAATTCTCTGTTTTCTTATAAGTATTACTGTTAAAGATATCCAATCATAGTAAGTTTGTATCTCAGTATAGACTAGCCAATACACTTCATCACTTACTATATATATACTAGTTATTGCATCAATGAACTGATTTGAAAAGAAATGGTTCGAGTACTTCAACAACATGTACTACTGTAAAGTTTAAATGAGATAATTAGTAAAATTTGTTTAATAGTGAAAATCACTCAACGAATACATAAATTAGTTTATATCAATAAAAATTAATGACTTTTATGTAATTACTGAGGTTTACTATGATGTAAGGAGAATATAGATACGTATATATATACTTATCATTCTAAAAGTTAAGTCTATTTTTATAACTTCATTCAATATGATAACATTCAAACAACAACAAAAATTGAATTCGCCTAAACAAAACATTGGCAATAACATTCATTACATGACTATACAGTTTAATGTTGTTTATATATATATCTATATCTATATGTATATAGTGAATGATACGAGATTACCGGTACATATAATGAAATAATTACACATTAGTACATGAGAATACTATATGTTATTTGAATAAGACCGGAAATACTAATTGAAAACTAATATTGTTATACTCCATTATCGTGTTTTCATCGAACGCAAGATAAAGAATATAGTCTGCTGAACTGAATGACCTTAAATTATGCTGATATATATTTATATAAACAGTATATGTGTAATATTTCACTATATACCTTAAGTATTAAGATGAATAAAATTTGGACTGGATTTAATCAAACGTTACTAATGAATTTCGCAACTACTAATTTGAAATTTTCTTTGATTTCGGTTTTATAAATATGATCAGTACACTTTGAGTAATTCCCAGTGAAACTTAAATTAGCTTATTAATTGGCCTAAGAATTTCATTATCATTGTAAAAGATAAGACCTAGAACATTGGAGAAATACTAAACAACTCATAACATAACTGAAAATTAAAAAATAAAACGCTCGATCAATTTCAAAGAAAACACTTTCATGCTGATATCGTGTTAAAATGAACACTTTTTGTCATGAAATGACGATTCATGGAAGCCAAAGTGTACTTTACAAATGTTTGGGCTTTATTCAAAACTCTTTAATAGTGCGCAATCACTGTTTTATATAAGGTTGAACCAAGGACCTTCAGGTCACATAGAAGCTCTATATCATCAAAATGTTTTAAAGGTTTATTAAGGTTTGGTACCGTTAAAAGTCAATTAATTCGATAGTGAGCCACTTATTCGTCGATGATAACCGAATCGTAGTTCCCAAGAGAGTTGATGATCATGTCTTCAATTCTGCCTCAGTTTATGTTGTGTATTACTCTCTATTTTTTGACTGATTTCCAAAAGGCATCGTTTTTTACCATTACGATTTTCGAAACGGTTCCAAACTTTTGCGTTCTACATTAATCATTGCTTATCGATTTTTTCGAAATATCTGTTAATTATTAAAGTCATCCAATTTAAGTTGATATAAATCACTGGATATATTTATTTAAACTTACCATGTGTTCCGCTTGAGCCCTATTTCCGATAATATTCTATTTTCTACACACTGCCCGTCGCTACTACCGATTAAATGGTTTAGTGAGGTCGTTGGATTGGTGTCGTTGTAGTGGTTTTTCCGCTCAACTGATGCTAAGATGACCTGATTTGACTACTTATAGAAAGTAAAAGTCGTAATAAGGTTTCCGTACGTGAAACTGCGGGAGAATCACTATCATGACCCAAAAATATATAGTAGAGTATGCACCTAACTTCGTGCTGTACTGCATGTACGCTGGCTTAATGGTATTTATCCTAGGATTCAGAGGCTATTAATTTATTATTTTGAACATATTTTGAACAAATGTGTTATTGCAGAAGAAACAGACAAGATAAGATCCTGTTTTTAGGGAAGACATATTCGAATTCAACATAAGTGAAATTGAAACTAAGAAAGAACCACAAGGTTTGAAGAATTAAACGAATTCATTAGTCTGTTTCACCGTTTCTCATCAGCTGCATACAACTTAAAATTACAATTATTAATTATAACAAATGTATTAACATATTTTAGTTTGTGTAGTTTAAATAAATGGTTGCAACGCAACCAAAATTAACTAGACTATGGAGAAGAATAGATAGATTTCATTTTTTAAAATCCTCTTTTACTTACCTAAGGTGTTAATTCTGGTAAAAACAGCTCGTAGATTGGTGATCGCTGTCAAATTCATACGTTCTTTACTGTACTGAGGCCATGATTGATGCATTTCACTTGGGGCAGCCATATAAGCAACCTAATTTGTGTACATATACACATAAGTATGAAAACAATCATAAAAGAGTATTTAACTCTGAAAACTAGTAGCATAATGAAATAATTAATAGACTCATCCAGTTATTCAACTATTTTCAAATAAAGCTTTAAAAAATCCAAGAAAATCTTACCAGTGCGTTATGAACAACATAGTAGTATACTTCAAATATGACAAAAAGAATTTGATTATAACTGCTATACATTTTAAAGTGAAACTTTTATCAACAACCATTGAAAATGATTTCTAAAAAGAAACAATTATGCATGATTTAGACATAGTGTTGTGGAAATCGTTAAATTTCATTGAAATCATGAATTGATCTAAGCTAGATCAGCATTGAAAACCTAGAGGCGCTGGACGGGCGTTTCACTCTAGTATAGGACTCTTCAGTGGTGTTCATTCATGACCTTGAATGCGCTAGTCGAACCCAAGACCTTCAGTTCCGCGTGGATGCTTAACCTTTAGACCACTGGGCTAACATACAACAATTTTAATGTCTAACTCCGATCAATCTAAGATATTGTGTGACCGTCTTCCAATGTCATCGGTGAGTAAATGTCTCACATCTGACACGGCTGATCTCCACTTGTCACAGTTTCTGACTTCAATTCCGTAGATTTTCTCTAGAAGCTAGTCACTGGCGAACATATAATAATTGAGAGTATAAGGTTGTGGAAATTTTCGAGTTTCACTACAATCATGAATCGATCAGTGATGTGTTACACACTGGCCATCATTTACTACTAGGATATTACTTCACTTGGTCACTAATAGTGATGGAAAATTTGTTCATTAATTTAATTCTCAACTTATAATAAATATATGCTCTGAATTCTACTTTGTTAACGAAAATTATATCCCAATAAAGCTCTCCTTGAAAAACATCTTATTAGGCAACATCTTAATGAATACTTCTGTCTGTTTTCTAACCAAGCTTCCATTCTGCACACAACTTGCTACAAAGTCAACCTATGGATCTCTGAGATTTCTGCTAAACTCTAAGTTTTAATTTCCAAGATATCAGTGTAATAAACGTTTATTAGTGATTACAAGGGAAATCCGTCATTAGTATTCAGTTTGTTTTTTGATAATCAATACTTTGATTACGGATTAGCATTCTGAAGAAGCTCTGACTGGGTCCTCATGCAAAACATTGAAATTATTTGAAATCTATCACCGAGTTTATTTAACTTATATTTTCCTTATACATCTAATTTCTGATGGTGTTCTGTTAGTATTTTCTCCAGAATTTGTATTTATTCTATTATTCAACTTAACCGTTAAATTGATGAGTCGATTTAGCTTTAATCTACTCAACAGATGCCTTTGAAATATTACTCGAATCTGCTGGGATCACCGGGTAAGTAACAGTGAGGTTAGATGCAATGTATTAGGGAATGATGATAAATTAGTTCATCAGGTTGTGAATCTCCATCGAATGAGATGGTTGGGTCACGTATTGCATATGCCTGAACACCAATTAGCACGACGTGCAATGCTAACCGGTGTTAGGGATGGTTGGAAGGAAGTTACGGGTAACCAAACCAAAATGTGGCATCAGTGTTTGAAATCACTAATTTTTAGTGTGAGCCATGTTGGTAGATGCAGACTACTTGATTGGGATCTGCGTGACTATCGTAACCAATTGTTGGAGACTCTTGGTGACATAGCTGAGAATCGATCAAAATGGCGTAGGTGTATACACTCTTTGTTTTCCTTTAAACTATGAGATTAAAATTATTTCATATTTTTCTTTCTACGATCTAATTCTTTTCTTCTTGTACTATATCCTTATTGTAATCTTTATTTTATATATTACCATCACCGAATAAACCACTTCTATGAATCTGGTGTCCATCTTGTTGTGCTAATGAGTTACGGCAATTTGGACCGATGGATATATGTGCCTGGTCCTACATTGTAGCTGACTGGCTAACTAACTGATATCTACTCAACTATTAAAATTACCTTAATCGTCACAAACTCCATTCTTTCTGATATTAGTTATTCGTATATACACATACGAAACTTTTGTGATCTTTATCATGTTTGTGCACATTAATAATTATTTACCAATCACATTAAATGATTTTTTTTAGGTTAAGACAGGTTAATTTTAATAAAAGTCATTTTATTTCATTTGCATTATCATAATTAAATTTTTTCATCATGGGTATAAATATGTATTAATACAGCTAGTAAATAGTGATCAGTGTTATCGATTTTTACCGGTACAAAATTGCGATCATTTTTTAGGACAGCATGATGATGAAGAAATAACTAATTACGCTTAAAAATTTAGTCAATCAGTCGACCAGTCAGATATAACGTAGAACTTGTCAAATCTGTATATCGGTTAAGGGAGTCACACCCAATTAGCGCAGTGAAATGAAATTATCAGAGTTAACCCTGGGGTAGTAGAAGTAGTGGCAGTATAAATTGCAATAGAAGAGATTCGACATCGAAGATGGGACTCAAGGAAACATAATGAAATAAAAGAATTTATGTGGAATTCATAAACCTAGGATCAAAGAAAAGATAGAGTAAATCCACCTAGGCCATTGCAAACGATTCTGAACCACATCACCGGAAGTCTCTAACTACTGGTTACGATAATCACCCTGACCCAAATAGTTTGTACCTACCTAACTACCTACATGACTTAGTCCAACAAACAGCGTCTTTATGGGCTGATAAAAAATCTTGGTTTGGCTACTTGTAGTTTTCTTCCAACCTATTCCTGCACCAGCCATTATCGTGGAACGGCATATGTAATACATATCCTAATCAAATCGGTCGATAAAGACTCACTAACTCGTCAGTCGATTAACCATTTTTACCTAGAGTTTTTCCAACTAGCCTCAGAGCTATTAAGTCGATGGTCCCGAAATACACAAAAGACGAGCCAGGCGCCGTTGGATGCCGGCTCAGTGGTCTAGTTGGCTAAGCGACTGGCGCGAGACTGACAAGCCCTGGGTTCGAATCTCGCGGGTGCGCACTGCTAAGGAGTCCCATACTGGGACGAATCGGCTGTCCAGCGCTTCCAGGTTTTCCATGGTGGACTAGATTTAATTGACTCATTATTTCAATCAGTGAAATCTTTATTGTTCTACTTTCATTTATCTTAACTAAGGTATTCAAATGCCCTTTATATTTAAAACATCTGAAGGACTTGAGTTATATAGATAATACTTCCTTATACTGATTAGATTAATATTTATTAATTTTTTAAACCAGTATGATATTTAAATTTGGCAACTTCTCAGTTTATTCAATCTAATCTTGTAGTATTTAGTCTATGCTCTGTTTTTACGTAGAATAGGTTTTATAATATTTACTTCTATCATTTTATTTAAGTTACGTGTCAACAGAAGTTATTCTATTTCTTTGTGATAGACGGTGTGACTATAATTTATGGACGCTAAACTGATCTTGAGAGTGCCCACCTATTAACCAGGAGCAAATAAGGGTTTTAAACCAGCATGAGAAATTATCATTATCATTTACAGTTGATAATTAAGGTTAAGAATTAGATTTCGGGTTTTCATCACGAACTGACATCAACTATAATGCCAAAACTCTATTTAGCCAAATGGATGACTGAATTTTGCGTCAAAATCCTAGACCTGTTATTTTATACGTGATTGGTTCGCCCATAAACTATAGTCTCGCCTGATAGATTAATTGTGCCTACATCATTTTTATGAAAACTAGTTAAGTAAGGTTTTTGATCTGATATTATAGCTAATTTGCTAGAATATTTCTCAATTGAGTTTGCCCAAACTACCCCACTAATCTTTTTCTTTAATGAAATACTTATAAACAAAATACAGTAAATGTAAAAATCATAATGTATATATTATAAATTAAGAAACATACCACACCTCCTTCAGAAGGTGTAAGTTGACTATAAACTCCAGTACAAGTTACATCAGTCAACGATCGACGAGGACCTTCAGGTACAGAGGGAAAATCTCGTTTGCAGTTATTTGAAAAATAAGCATAACGTGCCCATGTACGTCCAAAGTCATAAGAACGTTCTAAGTACATAGCCGCTGGGCGATAAGTTTTAAAACGTAGAATCGTTGAAATAAATTGAAATTGTGTATCCAAATTCAGTACAATTGACACATTGTGTACTGCATTCTGTGACTGCCACCTGAAATTAAAGTATAAAGTTTTTTATTTGACAGTATACATAAACCTGAAGGATAATTTAAAAATTATATTATGTTTTGATAATGAAATAAAAAGAAATATCAAGGAACTTAGTACTGTCGAAAAATCACCATGCAACGTATCTTAAGATCAACATATATCCAACCGACTACTATCGTAATGGAAAGAAGTTACTTAGTATCAATAAATGTATTGTCCATATTACGAATTCAGATCGTAAAAAAGCAACTAATTCAAAATTTAAAAAAATTGATTTCCAAATCTAAACCAATCCATATAACCTGTATAAGAGGTTTATGTGGATTGTTCAGTTTTCATAGTTTACGTCAAGAGCTGATCGTAGTTAGACAACCAACGAAAAACGGAAAGCACGGACCGCAGCTCTTTTGACCTAGTGCCGGGCTCCTCAGCAGCATATATCCATAGTTCCACAGGTGATCGAACTCAGAGCCTTCAGTCATGCATCGAGCACTCAGCCGCTAAATTACTGAGCCGGAAAATTGAGACTCATTAGTCTACTAGTTATTCAAAAAATATACAAACGCTTTGTATAGAGATTTCAGATATGGTTTGGCATTCACTTATGAATAAGAGCAACAGTCATCTTACTTTTCTATGTGCTATTATATGCTAATAAATTCTAAAACCTAGTTTGATAAAAACAAACTCATAGATTATCGATTAAATGAACAACCAACTGTAATTACAAGTCAATTGCTGAACAGGAAATTTAAAGAAGTTTAGAGTAGTGATTCACTTTTGTATTGGTTACTTGAGTCTTCCCGTTGATGCTTAGGACTGCAATTGATCAGTCTTCGACTGGCATACGTGTATCCAGTACGGATTGCCTCGATGTTACCTTGAGTCACAAATATTATAAGCAAAGATTGATGATGGCTAGTAGATGAATCCAGGACGCGCGTTTCGACCTATTTGGAACTTGCCAGCTGGATATACTTGCATCCAGAGTTGATTCTCACTCCGAGACTCGATTTATAATGCTTGTGACCAAAGGTAATATCGAGGCGATCCGTACAAGATGCACATATGGCAATAATAATAAAATCCGATGAACATACCGAATATATCTTTACTCACAAGTTCATTGTAATGAACTTGAAAATTAAATAACAAGTGAAAGATTACCTACAGTATCCAATAAGGTTTTGTTTATGAACACTGAATTCAAAAGCGATATCGCATCGGTGATTTTTAAAAATTAGCTGTCATAATCACTTATAAAGACCCGTATTTCAAATTTCAAAACATCTTCCTAGTAGACGACTGATTCAAGGATGAGTTATAGTCAAGTTTTTGTTTTCCATCATATCAATTTGGATTTATCAGTCCACTTCTTTTTTAGGAAGGGGCTATATTGACAAAGAATCACTCTCTATGCTTTTCTAGAAGCAAATACAAAGTGACAAGTCGTGTCATCCTCAAATATCTTATCGACTTTGATCATGTGGTCTTCTCCTTAGGAGTAGCCCCTAAAATTATTTGAGTCCAAAAGATGAAGCTTAAAGACGTAAAACATTGAAAATCTGTTCCCAGTAGAATTGTTGGCAGCTCATTATTTCAACCTTCTGAGCTCACAACCAACACTTACCATGGTCTTATAAACTGATACTTGAAAGAATTTATTATTATTTAAGTCATTCCTTCATCACTTTAGAAGTAATCAACTCTTATTTCCCCCCCCTTTATCCTTTTATAAGTGGATAATTAACTTCCATTGATGGTCCACTTTCTTTTTCTATTTCTCAATAATCCATCGATTATTACATCATTTTATTTTGATACTTGAAAACGCTCGCAATCATTTCACCTAAATAATACAATATTCATTTTGTTTATTATAAACTTATATGCGTAAAATAACCATAAATACAATTGTATAGAATTTGTAAGTGATATAAGTTTAGAGGGAACTTTTTTTAGCCGGACTGTCTCAATATTTGCACTACTATTTCGAAAGGTTTCCTTCATCGTTTGAATATAGATGGAGAATACCATTTTGTCACCTAACCGATATCATTTTTATAAAGTGTAAGTTCATCTTGTGCGTTTATCTAGCAGACTAAAAAACATTTAGCGCATACAACTTTGCTTTTCACCTTGAGAAGAAAGTAACAATTAAAAATAATGTAAAAGGAGGGTGACTAAAAAACATTCAGATAAACCTAGCATTGAGTGACATTTCACTCAGTGAGTTTGGACATATTTCGTTCTGTGTGAAGGGAAATAAATTTGGGTTATATTATACTAATCTCAATTCTCCTAGCAGAATTACAGAACCACTTACAATCTTGAAAATGGTTATTTGACGAGTTTCCAATCACTTACTCACCCCTACATGCGATTATTACAAAAGTTAAATACAACCACTATCTGCTAACAGTTTCTTGTTAGACATTTATTGCTAAAATTTCTATCGAAAATCCATTGATATACTTTGTCTTACGAATAAGGTCATAATGTTCACATAAAAAACATAATAAATACGCTGGAAATGCTCAAAATTCACTATGGAAACTAAGACAACAAATAAACCTGTTGAGTCTATGGCATAACTTTCCCTTTGAAGCGAAAAATTACTTTTCTCTACATAGTAATCATTTTTAATCCTGGCAGTGTTAACTCATAAGAGCTGACCAGTTCGATTTAAATGGACTAAAATCCACTGGGCTATCAGAGCAAATGTATAAAAAGTTTTTCTGAGAGACCCTATATTTCTTTATTTAGAGGCAACAACTATTCGTGGATTGATTTTTTATACTTTTTGACTCCACAGATAACTGTAATTCAGTGCATTATTTCCCCACTCATCAGTCTTTTTTAAGTAAATTAAAGTGTTTTGCCTATTTTTAAGATATATCCTGGCAATATTAGAAAATATAACAATACAATTCGTGAAAAGTAGCCACGAGAAATAAGCTGGTGTCATCTGATTTCAAACAGCTTGTAGTCTGATTTAAAGCAAAGATTGATGCCACAAGAGCTTCCAGAAATCTAATATTAGTACCCAGAAAAAATTTCAGTAAGTCACAGTGTAAATGAATCTACCAACGGTGTTTTTCTCATTGACCCTGATCTGCTTTTCAAACAAAAGTCGACTTAAAATGTGAGCGAAATGAACATTACTGAACAAAATGATATATATGTACAACAAATGAAGTAAACAGAGACAATACTTATTTTGTCAACATACAAACTAACACACAGTTGTCCCATTAAAGCAAAATGTCGTGCGGCATATATGAGTCGACACAGGGATTTAAAAGGGTAATTCCGACAAAAGAGTTCTATCAAAATAAGCGAAATTGCAAATGAGTTCTATCAATGTCTCATATCTTGAAAAGCACTCAGAAATATATGACAGTCTTAATGAGAAACCTAGTTCAGTTTCTGGCAGAAAACCTTAAAATCAGCAAAATTCCGCCAATCAAGCCTCAAAAACATTGTCTAGTTACATTTCTGTCTGAGACACTGTATCGATTCCCAATTTAGAAAAAACAGGGATTGAAAAAAGTAAAACAAAGGGGTGTAACAATTCGATATCAAAAGTCCATACCAAGGTACCTCAAATGCACTTCAGAACTCAAGTCTGATTACTGTAAAAAAAGTAGGTCGACTTCCTTAGGTCTGCAGCGTGCTTACCACACAAAAAGATGCAGGGAAAAAACAGGCTTAAAATACTCTTGGAAGCTGGGTAGAAAAGTCAAGGATAATGAAGTCCTGAATATTGGGGCCCCGTAAATAAATGCGCTATCCCATGATTTAAAGGGGACAGTTCTATATCTTTGTTGATAAACAACAACTAGTGAATTTTCTGGATATAAAATATAGGGTAAACTGCCTCGTACAATAATTCATACACTTTTGACTGCAATCCGAATACAAAAGTTGTTAAGGAGCAAGGCGGCCTCAAACTACAAAATAAATTTGATGTGGAAAATTCAGCGGTACCAGACAAAATACATTCTAAGTCAATAAGCGGATTTGAGACTCTCATCTTGAAAAACTTGTTCACATAATTCAACCTATGTTCGTTGTATAGTAGGCTATTAGCCATCAACAGAAACAATATATTTATCTCTGGCTCCAAATTACATAAATGGATTAATTTTATGGACAGTGGTCTATAAGTCAACACCATTCGAAAACCCGTAGGATCTATGAACCATTTGCTGATAAATGTTTTAAAAGCCAGAAAACTACATTTCAGGGCATTTTACACAAAATTTACTCTACCGAAAATCAGGCGTTGCACAATAACATCTGGTAACCCCATAAAAACGACGGAGTTTTCGAAAGTGTCCAAAGAATTGCGAATTCGCTATCTCATATATTTCTTGTTACTTTGCGATGTATTTTTGAAACTAACCCCACTTTTGTCATCATTTGGAACGACTCAGGTTGGCTTAATGGCATTCTTTTAATAATGTATCAGTGAAAATTTACGTAACACGCCCTCACTTAGAATAGCAGATTTACAAATAGAAAAAAAGCGTTCATATCCTCAAACACGACTTCCCTACTCAGACATTTCTCGCTAAATCATCAAACTGACTAAAACATCTGTTGCAACATACGTGTACAGATGTTTTTTTCAAACTTGCTGAGAAACCCACACGTTTTGGTGTTAACCAGGGCTCTTCTCTGCTGGACTTAGTAATCACTCATGAGACTGAGGATATTGTCGACTTAAATATTCTTCAACCGTTAGTGAACAGCGATCACGCTGTTTTGTAATCTGCGTTTAGAACTAGGGAAATGTTATACGATCAGGGTACACCTCGCCCAAATGTATGGAAAGCTAACATATCAGCCATTCAGGAATGCGCTGCTAAGACAGATTGGTTAGTAGATACTAGCATATCAGTTGAAGAAGCATGGTCTGTATTTAAAGGTAAGCTTTGTCTAGTTACGTCCCCGTTCATACCATACCTGGTACTGCCAGGACCGAACAACAGTCCACCATGGATAATTAAGACAGTCAGGAAACGTCTTAGAAAAAGCAAGAAGCACTGGAATATGTTCATCTCTACTGGCCTAGAACAATACAGATCCAGTTATTGTAAGATTAGGAATGCCTTTAAAGCGTTAATAAGTAAGACTAGACGATCATATGAAAAACAATTGGTTAGGGATTCCAAAT